AAGCAAGATCAGCTGAAGATGATAAGTACTAATCTGAACTGTGCACTAGTAATAATAGACTGGGCAATGAAGTTCCTCCAGCTTAAATATCGTGAGAAGCAGTCAGATTGGTTTGGCAAGAGAGGATTGAGTTGGCACATCTCGACGGTGATCACACTTGATCCGAACCTTGAAGGAAGACTAGAAATGCGGTCATATGCCCATCTGTTTGACGCATGCCGGCAGGACTGGTTCGCCGTGTGTTCCATCGTAGAAAGCACACTGAGAGAAATTGAGACCCAAAAGCCTCACATCACCCGGGTTTATCAGCGGTCAAATGAAGCTGGCTGTCATCATAATAACTCCCTCGTTGCTGCGGCAAGAGGAATTGGTAAGCGGGTTGGTTTTTCGGTACGACATTTCAGAGCCACAATATGGCAAGGATGTATGTAATCGAATTCTGTGTCTGATGAAAATTTGCATCCGACGTTTCTGCAACGAAGGACACGACATTCTGGGAAACCAATGAAAGGTATATCCGCATGCGTTTGCGAAGTTGACGAGGCGCAGATAACCCTAGAAGTGAACAAGATAGATGGTTTTAGCAAGCTTCACAATGTCCAGTTTGAGGAGAAAGGTATTCGTGTGAGGAGGTCGTACGGAATAGGGCGTGGTAAGGAAATCTCTTTTGACCAGCTGGTGTTAAAGGGCTAAGGGGACACTGGTATCATTGTTAGTGAAACATTTTTCCCTCTTCACGATGCACGTGTTTATCAATTCTCAGATCCTGTGACAGAGAGTTCAGAAGAAAAGAATGACTGGGATGATTCGAATATAAGCATGTTTGTAGGGAATCATTGCGTCAAAGATGAAAGGCCGTCAGAAACGCTATATGATAAGCTTCGTAGAGATTGGGTAGACAGGTTTACTACATCAGTCAACGTCACTGAAAATGAACCGTCTGAACCTAATATCCACCAAAGTGAAAATGTCTCAATACCCGCGTTGCACACCGTCATTATGGGTTGGGCCCTACACTGGCCACGAGCAGGATCCACTAGATTGAGTGACAAAGTTAAGAAATATCTAACTGCAAAGTTTGACCAAGGGGAACAATCAGGCTAAAAGCTGACCCTCAGCAATTCTCAAATGATATGTGCAAGACAAGAGATGAGCAGAATAAACGGTTGTTTGAATAAGACGAGTGGTTGACCAAAAGCCAAGTACAGGGTTTCTTTTCTCGCCTTGCAGCAAGCAGAAGAAGGCAACAAGCACACTCAGAAATCGAGCACAATCCAAAGGAACTATTTCTGGAGGAAAAAGAAGCTGAAAGACAACAGCTGATGGTGCACATTTCTAACGAACTGAGGCCGCTACACCCTCTGTCTTACGACGCCTTTAACTTGTGCGAGTGTGCAAGGGATAATAAGCTGAGTCTTTTTGATGTTTCACTGCTTAAAGAAATCTTTTCTGAAATACCATTTAAATCAAGAGATAGGAAAAAAGACCTGATTGAACAACTGATTTCCTTTGTACAAGAATGTCAATGCTTTAATGAAGTGTAACACGCGGGCCGCGGTTGGGATGACTGTCAGCATTGGGCCCTGGCAAACCAGTGATAGGGCATTTAGAGTGAATTTGTTGAAGAGCAATGTGCACCGCCTCTAAGTACCCTGATGTACAGTTCTATATCGATGAATGAAAGTGCTTAAAGCATTGACATGTAACTAAACCCGTGAAAATCATTTTAAAATTGACGCCTGTTATTTTGTAGTCATGCCTTTAATGTCAAAACGAAAAAATCATAAGCCTACCGTGACCGTGAATCATGTTGACCCTCACTCTATAGCATGTACGAGCATTTACAAAAGAGATTTTCTCTATTGCCTCCTCGAAATTTTCTCAATGATTTATGCCTTTAACTTAAATTACTACATTCGCTTACCTACTTTTGGAAACGTTTATTAAATTAAATATACCAATTTCTATCGGTTGCATAATTTCTCAATTTCTTCTGGGAGATTTACATACTCTCGATGGAGAAACCTCAACATATCGTGATATAAATGTCGAACTAAATGTTTCTCTAATCTGAGTTCACCAGCCATGAGACAATCTTCTAATGCTGGTATTGCGTGACTAGGCTAGTTAACGGCAGTCCACAGTCACGCTTAAAAATCTCCACGGCGTTAATCATGAGAATCAACTAGCTCACAATCTAAAAAACTTTCACAAATAGTAAGACAAAATTTTTCCCCAAGTAAGGGTGAATTATTTTCCTGAAGAAAAACGGCAAAAGAGGTTTGAAAAGATTATGCACAAGATAAAAACACTTGCGCGAAATGAACAACTTAATTGTAAAAAAAAACTGGATTTCCTTAGCGCATTGTGTTCAAAGGAAATGGCTCTTGAAATTTTACGTAAAGCTGTCGAGAAAGGATACAACAGATGAGTTTCACATTTATAGGAACACTTCTTTGAACGGCTAAATGTTGCTACGGAAACTATTTTTGACGCGTATTATAACACGAACGCATGAAGCTAATTTGCATATAGGAACTATTAACGAAGTATTTTTCCGGAAAATTTGAGCCATTTCGTGAAAAAATGGCCAAAATGATTAATTATATCGATCTTGATACTCCATCAGATAATCTTTGCGGCACCTTCAAGTATTTTAGGGCTGTTACGCTTTAGAAACCTTTCTGCAGGTCGGACCGCCTTATCGTTGGTTCCAATCAAGATGGCGAATATTTATGAAATTCGCCAAGCTCTCTACGGTGCAGGATGAGGAGTGCCCAAAAGTTTTATTCTATGTTTAACTTTCTGTTTCTAAGTACTTTTAAGCTGCAATAGACTTGACTCTAGATCAGGTCCCACGTAAGAGAAAATAGCTTTCAACCGCATGTATCTCACTCCTCACAAATTTTAATACTCACGATAAGGTATTTGGACAGTTTCATAACTCGGTAAAAATTTTATAGAATTCAATCATTTTACCTTTAAAGTATTGAAATAAAGTAATTCTTAAATATGTAAAATAATCAGCTTTCTAGATTGGGAAATAAGGATTTGCTAGCGCTCGATATTTATAGCTTAATAATAGGGGTTACAGAAAGAAAATTGGGCAGTTTTGGGGTGACCTTTAAAATTGTCTCATAAAAAATAAAAAGAATGAAAATGATCAAAATAAATGTGATATTTATACATGGGATAGAATTTTCGACTTTCACTGAAAAACTTAGCGAATGCAGGTGCTCAGAACAATACGAAAAATAATACGAGGTTTCAACCTGCAAACTTGAGTAAATAAATGGTCTCAGTACCCCTTTGGTTACGTAAGCCACAAATTTAAAAAGGCAGTCATGTGGAAACGATTTATTACCTGGTTACGACCTTATTTACGATGTTTATCTATTGTAATTGTATCAAGATTTTTTTTCTTCCCACCAAATATCTTTCGACTTAGCTTGAGAGGAACTCGGTCGAAAGCCAATCATGATATTTGAAGTCTCAAAATTTATAAAATGTAAGAAGGAAATTCCATTTAAAGAAACTTAGAATGTTAAACTCATATTTCACGACCATGGGCCAGAAATAAAAAACCGTGATTTGGAAGGTTTTGGAGCTGCATACTTTCCGATTACCGCTCGGAAGCGTTACAACTGAGATATGAGAAAACGTGTGAAACGTGAGATAGGCCGTAAGTAACACTCAAAATACATGACCTGTATGTTTCTAACATCGTCAAAGTCACAAGAGCTCAAATTGGCCGGAAAATAACACATTTTTAATTTGTTTCCAATCGATTCAATACCGTTCAGATGTTTCCAAGATAACAAATATTACATTTATGTGCGGTACTGGGTATTGAGTTGTTCGAACGGAATACAAATTTCGCAATACCGGCTTATCACCATAGAGTCGGTTCACTTTCTGCCGCATCACCATGAAATGTCTCGTATTCTGACGTCTCAAAGAGCAAACACAATCTTAAATCGGACAGCTAACACAAAAAGATCCTAAATAATAAATATACCGGCCCTCGGGTAATTTCTTGAAAGTAAATCTTATTACTTTTATCCCGACCAAAGTTTTTCCTATGGCTAAATGTTTTATTCCTTCTTCCTATCTATTTTCATTGTATACGTCCATTGCTTGACAGATAATAGCTAAAAAGTTTACTCTCAAAAAACAAGCTCAGCGCTATTATGTTTAGTGAATTTCCTTTGCAAATTGAGGAGGCACCTTCAGCAAACTTTGATCAAGGTTGTTTTTTGACACATGTTTTGACAACGGTGAAGCGAAACGAAAAGCGCCTCGCGATCGATTAAATTAGTGAAATCGTGCAACCGAAGCGACAGTGTCTCCGGAAAAAGGACAAGGAGGTTTTTTTGTTTAAGCAATTTAGGAAATTGGAAAGAAGCACTTTTCCACATCAATTAGGCAAGCGAATAAAGACCAGTTAACTTGAATTTTTCCCGGAGAAACTTCCTTGACAGGAATTGTGAAGCTTGGAAGCCGGAGTTTCTAAAAAAAGAAAAATTATATGACAACGGAAGACATTTTATCTGAACCAGATCGATTGACATAGCCCGTAAATATGTTCTTTAGAATTGGCGTCTTTTAGGATTCTCTATTTAACCGAGGTCCGATAAAACCAGTCCATAGATAAGGGTTATCAGATGTTTATCGACCATTGCGGATGGAAAGTCAGCTCGGTTCTCAAGAAATGTCATTGAGAGGCGTAAATTAACAAATATCTGCGATTAAGCATTTTATCACTTGACACTCTGATGTCATGAAAGTCCTCATGTAAATTCCTATCAAGCATCCAGTTGACCAATCAAATAGCAAGATTTTGTGAGTTCAACAAACACAAATGGACGTGTCATCCGTCCTCTGACAACTGCTATATCGGTTTCGCAAATTTTACATAATAATATTTTCACCTGCACATTCGAATGTGTATAAAGCTATGAACAGCGATCTCCTCTTTCATTTCCTACCAATTGGAAGAAAACGCTGTTCTCGCGCCTAGGAGAGGTTCGGCTACGGCTTAATTTGCTCAATCGTCGACTTCGCTCGGATTTCTCTCGGTAGAAACACATCTAAGGACTATTTGCACTCGCTGGCCGGGGCTGAATTTAAGTTTTCAACCTCGCGACAGATTTCGGTCCAAGTTTCCATCATCATCTTCCTCCTGGAAGAGGACGCTTTTCGTCATTTTTCTGTTTTAGAACACTGAGCTTGACTGAGACTTGTTGTGCCTAATTCGGCCTTGATTTCTCTTCGTTCCAACTTGTAAGAAGACGCGTGTGGGCCAGGCGCGTACAAATCATTGACTCTGTAATTTTTGAATCGCATCCAACACATTTCGGATCAAGTCTCCACCTTTACGAAGAAGAGATCAACAGTGCTTTTCAGCTTCACTCGAGTTCTATTGAACCTCACCTCAGTCCTTGATTTTCCTTAGTTCTTCGTTGGGATACACATCGAACGGAATAGAAAGGTCCTCTGAACTCACAGAGGTTAGAGGTTTTGAACTGGAACTCACACAGAAAAAGGTCAATTTTCCAAAAAGTGTCCGCGCTTTAAACGAGTTCCACTAGACTTGGTAAAACCCTCTATCTGTCTTTATTCTGCTGCGAGAGACACTTTTATTACCCGTAAAAGTTCGCTGGACAGAGTTTTGATTCGCGCCTCCCACAAACGGTTTGTCAATCCTCTGCGCTTTCTTGGATAAAACCCGATTCATTATCTTTCAGTTTTATGCCAGCTAATTCATGAATTACACAGAGGACAGTGAACCTTCTAAAATGGCAGATTCGCACTTACCTGCTGTAGTCGCCAACATTGTCATCGCTGGCTTTCTGTGTTATACCACCACTATGATGAACACTGTAACAATCTACGCGCTGTGGAAAACCTCTTCATTGTCAAAACCTTTGAAAACATTGCTTTTAAGCCTTGCTGTATCTGATCTTGGTGCTGGCCTTCTGAGTCAGCCAATGTACATCGCCTACTTGGTTGAAAAGGATTTACGATCCAAGAATCCTAAGACTCTTGACGATTTTTCTACAATCATATCCAACATCCTTTTTTTAACTTCGTTTTGCAGCATTACAGCCTTAAGTACAGACAGATTCCTTGCCATTCAGTGGCCTCTTCGTTACCAAGAAATTGTGACCCACAGACGAGTACTGATTCTTGTCATGGCAATATGGCTAACCACTGTAGTCTTTATACCGATCGATGTCCTCGTGATAAGCCGAAAATTTCCAAGTGTCTCTACCGCAATTTTTTTCACCATCCATTCCCTGTCCTTTTTTACTTCCACATTAACTTCTTTCAGGATTTATTTAACAATTAGGCGTCATAGCATTCAAATTCAGACTCAAACACAGCATGTAACACAAAATAACGGCCTGGTAAATATGGCGAGGATAAAAAAATCCGCTCAAAGCACTATTTGGATTTACCTCGTATTTTGGGTTTGTTATCTGCCCTACTTTTTTGTATATGTTTATGTTTATGTTGAATCTATTCCTCCACCTCGAGAGCTACTAATGTTCACGGTGACTCTTGTACTTGTAAATTCCGCCCTCAATCCTGTCATCTACTGCTGGAAGATCAGGCATTTTCGACCCTCCATCCTAAGAATCCTTCGAAAAATAACTAATCGCAACAACTTAGGCGAAAGATCGGTTTACAGCTTTGACGGATAAACAAAGATGGAAAACTCTGCGACCTTTTTCGGAAATATTCTTACCATCATTTTTGTCTCGCTGCATTCGAGGCATTAAGGTTAAATGGGGATCTTATCAGCCGCTTTTTGAAAAGAAGCCAAGGGAAGGCAAGAGAAACTTTTGACAAGTTCAGTTTGGGAGCCCTGACGAGGAAATATTTTAAAACCGATATACTTCTTTAAACGGGGAAGATGACTCACAGAAAACAAGGTGAAACGTTCTCTTGTATTATTAACTCAGACAAAGAAAAATTAAAATATTCATCAACTTTTAAGCGTCATGAACGAGAAGGTTAAAAGAGGACGAGGCAGCTGGTGAATTAAAAACCGCAAAATCGCATGCATTAAAGCAACGCGTACTTAACGAAAAGCATAGGAGAAGGTGAAGTACAGTAAGGAGACGTTAAAAAGAACTAGAAGTATGAATTAAATTGAAAAGGGGTGGGGTGAGGCTCTCATGGCTGAAGAAAGTGAAGGGCCTCAGAAACGATCATAAGTCTAAAAGGAAATCGACAAGACGAAAGTTGATATCTTATAGGGTATGTACATGTGGATAAAAATGGATAAATGGATAAAATACAGCGATTCTCATGTTTACAAATAGGCTGGGATATCTTGCATGATCAACTGTGGTGCAGCTGGAAACTGTAAGAGGTTAAACTGATTCAGCTTAGACTTTTCTCTCAAATTGCTTCAACATTGCACAAAAATATTGCATTTGCTTTGCTTTCTAACCTTAAGTCTCTTTACGGATTTCACCACAATTCGTTTCGTGCGACAGAAAAAAAAACTCCCGTAAAGCATAGCAATAAGTTCAAAAATTTAATGGAAGATTAATTTTTCGAGACAGAAATACCATTATATAAAAGAATATAACTCCAACTCCAATCGACCATGTAATATCCTCTTCTTTCCATTGTCATGATTTAAAACAACAAAGCCTACATTGGTGAATTCGAATGCGCTTTTAAGAATTGTAAAGACTCTCGAACGAGAAGGTTCAATAAGGCTCAGCACAGCTGTTCAAAGCTGTTTAACCTCCGGTTTTAAATGTGATTATTTATCGCGCTTTTAAAATGCATCCTCTAACTTAAGAATAACAACGTGTTTTATAAAATAACGACGTCTTAATGGAAAGGTCCGACTCCTCATTAACGAGCGACATTTACACACGTATCAAATTCACCCTTTCACAGTCCGAGCGTTTTAGAAACTTTTATCATCCTGTGGTCTGGATAATTAGTTAAAACACACTTATTATTGGCAGTGTGAAGTTTTAAACGATTTCTGTCAGTTTTATTTGCCTTTTTGCGTTCCACGCCCCATTTTACAATCTTTAATTACACTTAGCAAGCAACAAACTGACAGCAATCAGTTAAAAAGGAATTAAGTCTTCATTACAGTGATGGAAAAGATCGTTGGCTTTTAAAAAAATATTAAAATTATCCATCTCTGCGATGGCTATCTTTTCTTTATTTACTTTTTAAACGAAGTGTTGGTTTAAATCGTTCTCACAAAGCCAACGTTTCAAAAAGCTACTGAGGCCCATGGCTTATTCCCATATCTAAACGATGCTAAACCTACGTATTCTTTACCAAACCATGATCAAATTTCGTTTTTCTCTGAGCTATTGCCTTACTCTTTCTTTGAAGACTTAGAGCCGATTTTCTAGCTGCCAACTGGATTTAATTCGCGGCCCAGAAATCACCACTCAACACTTTGAAAGTTACACTCTTTTTTGTCCATTTGAAGCCAGCGAGATAAAGCTTTTTTTTCAATTTGTGTAAGCTAAGTTTGGAATATGGACGACCTCCCTACATTTTCTAAAGTGTCCTCCGCTTTTACACGCGGTTTAAATTTTTTCTGTGTAATCAGATATTGAGCTGAAATAATAGAACCTTGTATATATCGAGCTCATGCATCCATAATTTTTCTTTAGCTCGGTGGTAGAGTATCGCTCCGCGAAAGAAGGTTCGAGGTTTCTTTTCAGAAGATCAGGCTCAGAATTCACCTTTTTTCGTAATATATTCATGGGCTAAATCTTTCAATGGAAATGTAAATGTAAAAGCCCGTAATACACTGACGTGTGCTTTTGCGTTAAAAAGGGGATCCTCATGATGTCCAATAGCTGGACTGGTATAACTTTTCTGTTGTCTCAGTCGTCTTTAGTTGCATGATTTCTGTTCGAAGTAAGAGGTATCTTCCGATGGTTTATCGTTTCCCATTGATTTCATATCCTCTGAACTCGAGACTTAAAGTTAGTCTCGCTCACATACCGAAATTCAAACAGATGTAATGAGGAACTGATGATCTAATGGTAGAAGATACCACCGCCCCTTTTTAAAAGCCTTGAGTTTGTCACGAATCCCCAAATATATAGTATTATACGTAAGAAGAACATGAAAATCATGTGAAGACATAATTGTCTGTGCTTTTATATCTGAGGACTGTGGCGTGTCTTATCCTTAACTTTAGTCGGCGTCGTGCGTGCCGGATGGTACTCCTCGATGACTTCTTTACGTGTCGAACTTGTCTTGTTTTGTTGGGTTTTTTTAATATTTAATTCCCAATGAAAGGACCAATCAGAAGAGTATAGGTTGTTTTCTTAGTGCATAACTTAAGAGGGGTCGTCATTTCTAATTGTAACAGGAAAAAAGCCTTTGTGAGAAAACATCATCTGTTCAGTGTAGAAAATTGCCTTCTGTAATTGCCCTAGCATTGTCAACTGTGTAAATAAGTCGACTTTTGTCTCCTGAAAATAACTAGTAACAATTTATTCAACCTTGGGTTCAGCAAAAATAAGGCAGATGTCACGAACGTTCCTGTTAACTACCTTATTATAGCCAATGAAATAGCAAAGTTTACCTTTCGATGAAAACCTGAACACAATGATGGACAGTTTCATTGACAGTTTCCTTTTCTCTCGTCATGCTTGCATTGTCTTACATGTTCTGCAGACGGTGTACATCTGCAAAAGTACAAATTAACTTCAAGTGCTTAACTCTGAATGCTGGACTGGGACTTATTTAAAACGAGATCAACCGACCTGGCTTGGCTCTAATCAGCTGTGGAAAACCTCTGTTAGTTGAACAACTAAACTCACGCAAATTGAATCCGGTCCGACCTTTTTTTATACAGTTAAGACCCCGGTTTACGTTACTATTTTGCAGTGCTCCATCTCTCAAGAAATATAGTACGATCATGGAATCATTTTGAAAGTGACTCAGCTATTTTTTCTGAGAGATAATCATGAATAATTCACTCCCTGGCACGGAATCACATAATTCAAGCTCGAAGACTTTACAAGATCCGTTCTACTCTGTTCTTATGGCTAATGCTATCCTCAATATTTGTCTCTGTTATCCAACCATTATGATGAACATTCTAGCAATTCAAGCTTTGAGAAAAACGCCTTCGCTGTCAAAAAATTTAAAAACATTGCTTTTAAATCTTGCTGTTTCTGATCTTAGTGTTGGCGTACTGGGTCAACCGCTGTATATCGTTCGGCGAGTGGGCCAACTACACGGCAACTTGCATAAACTGCGTACTTCCTTTTCCATTGTTGCCAATGTCCTCTTTCTATCGTCTTTTTGTGGTGTAACGGCCGCGAGTGCAGACAGATTCGTTTCCATTTGGAAGCCTCTGCGTTATCCCCAACTGGTGACTCACGAACGAGTGGTTATCACGGTCATTGCAATATGGCTTTTAAGTGCATTTCTTGGACTTGCGAATGTGTTCCTTCTCACAGAGAAGATGTCTTTTGTGATATTTTTCATAATCGAATTATTTTGCTTCGTTTCCACCACATGGTTTACTTTAAAGGTTTATTTAACGATCAGACGTCAAAACTTACAAATTCAGGCTAGAGCACATTCAGCTCAAAATAGCCATATCATGATAAAAGATGCCACGCTTAACAAATCTGCTCAAAGCACATACTGGATTCACTTTGCATTTTGGGTATGTTATTTTCCCCAGTTTTTTGTCAGCTGTTTACGTCAGTTTATAACGCATCCACATCAACAACATACTTTCATGATGATACTCGTGTCTTCATGGACACTGGTCCTAATGAACTCTGCGCTCAATCCAATAATTTACTGTTGGAAGATGAGAAGTATTCGGCGAACCATGATAGACATTCTTCAAAGTATAATTCGAAGGATCAGGTTGGGATTACCATTTTGAAGGCAACTAAAAAATGACGTTGAAGTGATTCATACTGCTGAGAACCTTTCGTGAAAAACAAAGAGAAGAGTATACACAGTGAGAACTTGTGTTCACCTGGGAATCATTTTATTTAACCTTAACAAATTTATGACTAAGTTTTAACTTGGAGATCAGAGATAATCAAACAGCGGATGCTTTGGAGGGCCACCCAGCCGAGGCAGGACCGCCACCGACCACTGCCCTGCTCCGATGAGATCGATGTCTTGGCAGGAAGGATGCCCTGGATTAGGTCAACTAACAACTGATATGTGACCCCCCGATCCTTCCTTCAACCTCCCTCTCCATTGGAAAAGATCAGGATACCCAAAGGAGCGCCTCAGTGAGCCTCTGCTTTTGCAATCTATCGTATATGGAAACATACGTGATTTCCGTAGTTATTAGGCCAAAACAGCTGTGGTAACGGCATTTCTGACGCTTATCTGTTCTTTCCAGAACGACCCTGTAATATGCATTAAAGACATAGTAATGTAATAAGTAGCAGCCGCATACACTGAGTAGGAGGGAATCGAGGATGGCATGTAGCAGTGGGGGAGAAGTTTTGAATTTTTCCCGCTCCCAGAAAGCAGCAGAGAACGGAATTGATTTCAAAGGACCTCCATGGCCTCCACTTCGACCTGTGTGCCACACGTGACTGCATCATAGTTACATAGATATTTACATTAAGGTTCAACTAAACATTGTAAACTGTAATCTCTTGGATTTGAACAGAACAGGTTTGCAAAATTAAAGTCTGTCTGAAGTATAACTTGTATTGGATGATCCATTTGGCACTCATTTAGGCTTGTCACTTACAACCACATGATAAGTTTATTTTGTACGTCTAAAACGCCAACATTAGAAAAATTAATCAATGTGTTTGGCATTTCTATAGACATAATCGTCAGACATGACAATGCTCAACTTCTGGTGTGCTAAAACATGGCTGGTTACACAAACAGCGGCATAATAACAGGGTGCTTATATTCGCCCGTTCAAGGATCATCAGTGAAAAGATCAAATACGTAAAGTGCTGCGGGGGTGGCTCTTTTTTGTGATTTATCCACCCACTCTACTCTATTTTCGGATAGACCTGCCCTCTATTTTCAATGACATGCCAACTGAAGTAGAAAGTCTGCAAGCTTTTCTCGTTGGGATTTCCAACTTCTAACACTGCATTATGTAGATTGGCCGTTAAGCTAGAAAATCCACTGCTTTATGGCAGAAAAGTGGCCGGGAGCAGCGCTTTGAGGAGGCCGGTCTTTAATTACATCTGGCCCTTTTGTAGCACTGTATTGACGTATTCATACCTAATGCGCCCACCACGCCGGTTTTCTTAATTATTATGCGTAGATGTGCGGCCCTTTTGCACGATGACACAAAAATTGACAATTAATCAAATCTAGGACAAATTCTTCGAGTCAAAACCGTTAATCGAATTTTGCCGCCGAAACAATTAAATTTATATGTTGGTTATAGATTATTCAAGGGAATTAAAAGGCACAAATTGTATCACAACATGATAATGAACAAGTAATATCAGGCTTGTAGCCTGTGGCTGTATGATTAACATGATGACGCCTGTTGGGTGGAAGGGGTGGACGGACTAGGAAGGGAAGGAGTCCTTAGGACGTGCACACCTTGTGAACTTATCGATCGCTCTTTCGTACACTGGATCTCTTTCTTCAAATGAATAGCCCAGCAATTGCCGCTAATTTTCTCTTTTATACCCGAGTTAGTCTTGAATGATCAATTTAGTTCTTACATTATGACATGGTGCTGGCCAACGTTTTGTCATGGTACATTAACTCCAAATAGTTTTGAATAAAAATAGAGAAATCTGCATTTAAGAACCATGTGTTGTGGGTACCGAAGGGCTGTTTTGAGAGCCAACAAGGCAGATATCACTAAATGGCTCCTTGACTTAAGTGGTTATAAATGATTGATCACTTGTTGGGATTCAGTTGACTTATTCCGTAATGCGACGTTGTGGAGTCCCATACTTGTTTGTCTCATCTGGCGACAGAGAGCCAGGCAAATGAAGTAAACTAGCGTGCTTATGTTCTAGCTTCCATTCGGCCCCGTGTTCTTTCCCGCGTCATGAACCAACACAAAGATGTTAGCCGAAGTTGGAAAATGTGCAATGCAAATGTTCGTGAAATCGTGCATGTTCTCCTCGAAACTTTAAATATTCTCTCGCTTCAGTGACTCCGCTCGTAACATTAATCAGTGTAGAATATAACGCATTGCTTATGAGCCTTTTTATTTTAAACGTTTTTTTTTTTTGGTCTGTATGTTTGTAATCTCACAGGATGACATTTTCCGAAGGTTGGGCTCTTCGAAGGATCCTTAAATGTGGAAGTAGGAAAATAGCTATTGAATAGAAACGAAATTAATTTAACTACTTAGAGTAAGAAGAAACTAATAAAAGTGATTACGTTAAGGGATGCCGCTGCGGCAAACAGGTTAAGTGACTGATTTTCAAATCGGAAGCTTCAGGTCAAGCCTTAGCCGAAGTCCTATTTTTGTAAATTGTGTTCTTCGGTAAGAAACTTACTGTCACGGTGCGTTTCTCCCACACCGGAATACAGGAGTGCAAATGGGTTGGAACATAAAGAGGTAGCCTAGGGTGAGATCCTCCAAGAGAGATCTATAAGTAGTACTTCTGGTCGTTTTATGTACTGTAGACACCCGGAAAACTCCGCACTTTGTAAGCTATGAGGCACTCGTGTGTAAAGCAAGCCCAGCTAAAGAGCAATAAACAGGAAGTTGGCTTTATTAAAATTGTGCGTTTCCTACATACAGTCGAACTTGCATGTATTAAAACTAAATACAGGCTCCACAGATTAGGGGTATGGTGAAAAAACGAAAATTACAGTGATTCAGGGAAAACAAATGTAGGACTTTGACAACTGACCGCTTAATGCGGGGTGACCGTTTAATACGGAGCCACTTAAAGCAGGTTCGGCTGTATGCATATGGTGAGTGCAGCGCCCCCCCCCCCTTAATTGAGTCCCCTCCCTGTTAAGCCCCCTTCTCTACATCAAGCTTCTTTCTCTAATATGTTTTCAACCTGGAAGAGGGGGAGGGGGGGAGGGGCTTATTAGTTTCCTGATTGTTTGATTAAGATGAGCCGTATAGTTGCCTGAGCTTGAAATCGTATTCTGCAGGAAAGATTAAGAGTTTTTCTGTATCAAAAGTTTTCTACGTTGGTTTCTGTTTCGAAAATGACTCAGCTTTTAAGGCGGGAATAACATCTTCCAAAGGTAGAAAAGAAACTTTCCCAATACAGAGAAACGACAAATATATATTTCTAATCCTCTTGTCTGAACTTTATGATTACTGACCCCTCTCCGGTCGCTTCTCAGGTTTAGGGGTGTTGCTTTTTTGATTGCGGAGTTGAAGTAAGATGCTACTTACCTTTGAAATTGCTTTTAAATAATGATATAAGTACACGAGTATATTTTCCTATACATTCATTGAACAAGTTCACAGGTACACCAGAGACATGATTATTCAATAATCAATCGCCTGAGAATAAATTTCAAAATAATTAGGGTTTTCATTACTCGTAAGCTAATTCAATTCGATGGTAAAAAGCCTTACATTTGTGAGTCTTTTCTCTTGTGATTCATTGTCTCTGGCAATGCGATAAATAATTTACTTCGACAAAATATTTTCTCGGTGATATTGGACGAAGATTTAAAAAAACAAAGAAAGAAAATCTGTTATGTTGTCTTTGTGATTCTGATGAATAATCGAAAAAAACGCCATTGTAAACGATCTCGCTTCATTTAATTAAGATCAGTCATTAGTAAAAGCAATTCCTTGTAAAGGATGTGGTTGGGCTGATCCGGAGTACGTGATCAGCGAATCATGTGAGTGATCCTTAATTTAAGGCATGCGTAGCAACTCTAACTGTATTGAAAATAACCTGCTTTGGAGAAAATGAGAAAAAATGCTGCTCATCTTTCTCCTGATCGCTCGCTGCCGGCGGTTTTCACTCGATCCGAAAATACGTTAGCAAGTGAATGGTTGCTTGACAACGGGGAGTTAATTTTTCACGGGAATCGAGAAAATTATGGAAATTCACTAAATCTGACCGCAAAGTATTTTGCATTCTAATTTTTGATCATCCTTCGTTGTGACACCGCTTGTCTTGGGTATCGTTTAAGTGTTTTATCCAAATATTTTTCGATAGTCCACTTAAGATAATTGTAAAAAATAAAGTTATTTTGATTTAGGGGATGGAGAATATTCAAAACAAGTGACCTGGCTACTTGAAGTAGAAGTAACACCTGCCGGCTGCACTTTTAAAGATTTTAATTTCCACGGCATAATTTTGAGCTGTAATAAAGACTAATAACTTTGTCACACGAGACCTCGAACATTGGAACAGCGCATTTGGTTAATTGATTAGCCTAGATTTTACAAACAGTTGAATATATATTGGGTATAACTAAGAAATAAGAAGTCACTTCTAGTCTTAATGTGACTACTGCGAGGAATCTACCCAAAATTTGAACAAGGGAACATGCATTTCGATAGATGATCAGAAAGAGGCTATTCTTTCGAAAGGTCGATCGTAGTATTTCGCTGTTCCCTTCCAAGAAAAATGTCAGTAAGCCGAGAAATAAACTTTCGCTTTATTTTTATCGCTATTTTCTCTGCTGATTTTGATCTACAGCAAATCCGGTAAGGCAGCGACCCCTAAAGGTGCTGTTTACATCTTGAGCCGACATGGCCGATCAATCCTCCAGCAAAAATACCTGAAAATGCAAATGAAGATCTTTACGTGCTGTCAGCTACAAAAGAAATTATTCAGCCTTCAGCTCATAAACACGCAATAAATGGGGTTAATAATTTAAAATTCTCACTCAGAAGCCTAAAAATGCTCATGTCACTTATTAAAATTAGGACATTTTGCGAGAAACAGCGCGGAAAAGTAGAAACAAGTCCGTTTTAAAAAATCTGGCAGACTTAAGAGCCTTTCCATATTAGGAACTGGATCGTGACGTCAGAGATTTAGCGGAAAGCCAAACGCAAGTAAGGTTGCAGATGGTTCGATGCAGCGAAAGGTAACATGGCGGAACCTGAGAGCGCTAAACCAAGGGGAATAAACAGGAGGGGTGCTTTTAAGCAGAAGAATGTCATCGAAGTTAAAGGCCATAAGTTTTTTTTTCGGTACCTGAAACAGCCAACGTTTTGTGGTCACTGCAAGGATTTTATTTGGCAAGTGTTCTTTCGTTAATTCTCTTATCCTTCATCTTTCATGAGCATTTCTTTTGTCGAAGATCTATGCTGGGTTACTTGTTTCCTCTTTTTTCACTTCCTTAATTGTGGTTTTGTTTTCTTGTGGTGTTTAACAGGGGTTTTATCGGAAAGCAGGGATGCCAGTGCCAAGGTATTGTGGTCAATTTTCCTATGCAGTTATAAACTAAGATATGTCGGATCGGAGACGCATAGACATTTGGGTACAATAGGCTTAAGCTAAAGCCGAGCTAGAACTTGTCAACTGTCAATAACATTGAGTTCATGTCTATACTACTCTTTTCGCAAATTTTATCGTAGGGTGTTCGTTTGTGCTTCACAAGCGCTGTTGTCAATTTGTGACCTTTTCTTGTCCTGGTGCGGAAACAGGCGCTAATGCCGAGGTAAGATGACTTCGAATGTCTTTGAGAATTGCTTTTCTTTATTTATTATTTTTATTTTTATTTGTTTTATTTTATGTTTCTATTTGACCTACATTCTTGTGTACAAGCGATTCTTTCTTCGCGCGTGGGATCATTAACTCTGATTCTGATCGCTTAAAACGTTATTGTTGAAGTTGCCTTTTTCTTGCAGGGTCTTGAATCAGCGCACCCTTTTAAAGTTCGCACCTACACTAGTCCTACATTTTGTGATCATTGCGGATCACTACTTTACGGACTCTATCACCAAGGAGTACAATGCGAAGGTATGTTATTTCTAATTTTCATTTTCTCTTCCGTTCATTTAGCCGCTAGCCCGTTGTTATTTAGCCACCCCATTTAAAAAGCTCAAACTTTTGTTGTTAGCTTCGATCTGTTGTGAAACAGGCGGTAACTGATTACAAATGCGTTGCTTTTGCAAAACTAAGGAAATGATTTACCTGTCGGATCGTCTGTGTGTTTGCAGATTGTCAGATGAACGTGCACAAGAGGTGCATAAAATTGTTACCGAAACTCTGTGGCGTCGATCATACGGAGCGGAGGGGAAGAATACACCTCAAAGTTTGGATCGAAAACAGCGCAAAGAGTCAACTGAAAGTCGAAGGTTTGCATAATAAAATTTGCATACTAAGCTAATGTTTAGTCGAGTTTATCCTCACAAGATTTTTGTAATGTTTTAAACCGAGTGATGAATAACTAATTTATGAACGGCTTTTGTCAAGATCGACAGTTTTTTGGTACATTATTGCCACAGTGTTGCAATATACATTTACTTAACGAAAATGTATGTGATCTATATATCTCGAAAACATCTTGAAATAACGACAATACAGGTTAATACTGGTGACTTTATTTGGGCAGCCAAGCACGTCTTATTATTATTATATATTTTTCGGGAAATAAATATGAATTTTGCTTGTTCTTCAAAACAGTTTTTACTCAAGATTGCAGATCGGGCGGTCGAATACACCTGCTTTTTAAAACGTTCTTATTTTCTATTCATTGCGACAACCTGAGCATGTAAGGTGTTGGTTAAAAGAGTTAATATTTAAGTGAATTTTAATTGTCTATGGAGTCTAAAACGAGTGAATTTGTTGTGGTATGATTCCATCAGCTATACCACTTTACAGCGACTTATCACACATTCCTAGTGCAACTGGCCCTAGAAAATTGGGAAGAACTGAAATTTCAGAGGAGAGATTTTCAGTATTTATTTCGTGAATCGAATTCATCTTTCCTGTGGTGTGAAAAAATTATTTATTTCTCTAACATATTTTGTTAAAAAATATCCAAATTTTTAATCAGTTTAACATCCTCTTGTAGGAGTAAATATGTCCTGCTTTGGCTTCTTGGTGATTGATTTGATGAAACATCTCTGGAAATTCACCAATGTGGTGTTACTATGTGAAATATTGTATATGAAGACAATAACATCCTTGGCCATTAGGTGCACCAGTTGTATATAGTCAAAACGCTTTTTTTCTTTAGGAGACCCATTCATTTTTAATAATTTATGCTACCGTCTTTTTAAAATAACAAAGAATCTGATAGTGGGCTATTGACTGAACATAATTTATAAGCAGATTTCAAGCTGTAATCACCTACTTTTTACAAGATTGAAACATGACAAAGTTACCATATATACAGAACATTCCTCAAGGTTTTTTTTTTTTTAAAGATCCATTAATTAATCTGACCGATATGTGAGGAAAATATGGCAATATTACAATAGATATACAATACAATTAGACTTATCCATGTGGGGTCTATGGCATTATTTTTTTTACCTTTTTTTGCACCTCAATCTTTTTTTTTCAAAGCAGTGGAACTAAATATTTGGCCCCACGCACTTGCTTTTGTTGAAGATTTAGAAACTCTTTATTTGGTCCTGTGACACGTGAGACTATGAATTTACAGTGGAAAAAGAAAGTAATTATCGAACTGGTTAATTTAAATGTGGTACTTAATCGTAACCTATACGAAAGATTATCACACATCTGGAAGATAATTTGAGTCACCTAAAATTAGAAGGACTTATTCTGAATGTTGACACCTTTTAAGCTTATATCTTGTCTCAAGGGCTTCATCCTTGAGTTTTTGCAAAATCACCTAATAATTGTGAATTTAAGTAGAAAACAAAAATTTAAAACAGTCAGTTTGGTAATATTGCATGATGTAAACCATACTGCTGGCCATATTAATTGTCTCTGAAATTAGCAGTTTGGTTGGTAAAGAAGAAAGTAATGTTCTATGTAAAAAATAGTAATAGCCCTCAAATAGCATAAATAGTCTTTTATGCAAATGTTTATCTCAGACTGCATGTACAAAAAGTGTGTGATATAAATGTCATTATTTGCTGTGACCTCTGAACATTTAAGATTTTCACATCTTTAGTACGTGCCACAGTAACCAAAGTAGTTGCAGCTTGGAGTGCTGTCAAGTTGTGATCTCATTGTTTTGGTTATTTATGTTTCGTGTTTCACTTTTCTTATTGTGTGCAGAGGAAACCATTGTCTTGCTGGTTGATCCATTTCTAAGATAACTAATTGGGAAAGAACTGCTTGCTCACAGATAAAGTTGGTGCATTGGCCAGTAGATTGTTACCAATTACAGGCCCACATCAGTTAGTCAGTTGCAACTTTCATCTATTTTACAAGGGTTTTCATTCAGAAATCTAATCACAATAAAAAAATTGTAAGGAACTGGAGGAAATCCTTCTTTTCCAAATTATCAAGAAAACATCCTAAGCCATTAAAATTGAGCAGGAGAATTATTTAATAAGTATTTTCTGCTAGAGGTTTAACCCAAACTTGTGAGGAATTTGTTAGTTCTGGGCATTAATCTCTTGGCCTTTGTCTTCCAAAAGTAGAAGGAACAAAGAAAATAGAAATGATGATTGTATTCTAAAGTATTGTTGCTTTTGTATTGATGCCTCAAGCTAGAAAAATAGAGAAGCAGCATGGTTAGCTGTGTAGTTGATTATGTAAATATACACACAGTATCCTTTTCTTTTCCTTTTTCCAGCAACCAAAGTTTATTTTTTGGTGAGCATGTTACCATTTGAAGTCACTAAGTGGCATCTTAATGTTAACTTGAAGCCTAGAGTTAGGTAAAAAAACAAGCTGTAAGATTTGAACACATTCGGGAAATGGTTTGTTTGACAAGTAATTTTGTTATTGATAATGTTTTCAGGTTGAAATAATTTTCTACAACATACACTTGTAGTGTGATAAGCGTTTTCCTTTGTCCAAGTACTGCACTGGTTAGTAATGTATTTGGAAAAAAGGCAAAGGCAAATCTTACTGGGATGAAATCATTTTAATTTGAAATCTGTTTTAAACTAAAAATACATTTGCTGACAATTATGTTCTGATATTTGCATACCACGCCTTTTAACTTGAAAGTTAATGTCTTCAGTATTGTTTCTAGCTCAGCTGTAAAGCTTGTGTTGCTTAAACATTTAAGGTCACTCACAATTTGAAATTGAGTGTTGCATGTTTTTACATTGGCCACATAAAGCTTTGTTTACTTTTTATTTATATATATATATTTTTTTTTGAAAAAGAAAAAGAAAACAAAAATGAAATAGAATAAGAGAGATGGTGAGTTTTGAGCTCGTTAAAGAAAAAGAGAAAGATGTTTTTTATCTTGTCACGAGCATGGGACATAGCACAGAAGGTTCAATTCCTCATGGGGAGAAGTTTTTCTTTGTCCCACGCTTGTGACAAGACAAAAAACATCTTTCTCCATGAATGAAATAATGAAAATTATCTGAACTTAAATATTTTTGAATATTGGTTCAGCATTTAATTTAAACTTCCTAGAACACCTGCAAGCATATGTTTAAATCAGCATCCCAGAGGTCAGTGAAATTAGATGTTTCAATCATACACAGTTTGTTGGTATTCATATTGTTTTGTGCTTTATCCCATATTGGAGGAAAAAAGAAAATATATATATATAATTATACTTTTACCACAGAAGATGCAGTCAAACAGAAAACATGTAAATTGTTGTTTATTTGACAGTATTACATCCAACCTTCCCATGATGCCTTGTAGTCTAATTCCTGGCAAAAATAAGTAGGCACTGCTATCTTAAGATTCTTTCAAACCTTTTACAACAACTTAATTTGGCAAGTGCATTCTTTATCTTCTGTATCATGAATTTTTATCAATGAACATTTTAACCCTTTAACTCCCATGAGTGACCAAGACAGAATTTCTCCTTACTCTATTTATACAATGTCATGCACACAAGTGATGAGAATTAAAAAAAAATCCATTATGGGATTACTAATTGATCTGATACCAAATTCTTCAAACTAACATAATTGAGAATCATTTGGCAGATGGCAAGGAGAATTACTAATGAGATCTTGGCAGTTAAAGGGTTAAACAGGACTTCCAGCCTAACTTTTTCAGTCACCATTGGTGACTACCAGTCATAAATGGTTACCAGGAATAGCATTTTGGTTGTTAGAAGAAAATCAAAGAAAAAATATGCTTAGTGCACTCTAAACTTCAGACCACACTCCTCATTTTTTTAATGGAAAAAAGATAAAACATGAGCAATATTAAACATGAAAATTGTTTAACTCAACTAGATTTTAACTGATAAAAACTGAGTCATGGCAATTTATACTACCAATGTAGGTGTCAAAACAGTGTTTGTCAAGAGTTTTAAAAAAGTTACCAAGATTGTAGACTGTTGGAATCTGGTCCAGATCCATTAAAAAAGAAGTTTGTGTATCTGTCGTGTTGATTGTGTCAGCTTCTTTATTTCCTGTAGCATGTTAAAACACAGCTGTGTACCACTACCCCTTGAAATATCATGGAATGTCCCTATGATCAATAGTGTTTTGTCTGTTCTACACTTGCCTGAAGGTTAATGTCCTGTGTTTACCAAGAAAGTTCAAATGTCTTGGGAGATGCCATTAGTGTAATTTGAAAGCTTTCCATGTAGTTTACGTAATATATCCAGCAGTTCTTGCCATGAAAACTATGTTCAGGTTTCCATATCCAAAGTAACAGCCTTGTTGACCTAATTGTTCAGCAGTTTCCACAGCTCATTTGTCCCTAAAAATTAAGTAAATGTTGTGTTAATTTGTATACCTCAACTACATGTGCTATGGATGAAATTTGCAGTGAAACTTTAGTGACAATTTTGTTCCCAAACACATCTCTACCACAGTACTTTCTTCTTCTTCTTTTTTTTTTTTTTTTTTTTTTTTTGATCTTAAGGGATCTGAAATAGTCATAAGTGATTTTGCTGTTTCTTTTTTTTTGGTGTATACCATATTTTTGACTCCCTTTTTATGTGTGTCATTACTTTGTAGTTCGTGATGCAAAGAATCTTATTCCTATGGATCCAAATGGTCTCTCTGATCCTTATGTCAAGATCAGGCTGATTGACAACACACAGGAGGACATCAGCAAGAAAAAAAATGACTCAGACAAGAAAAAAAAATTCAAAACTAAGGTTGTCTATAAGAACCTGAACCCAGAATTCAATGAAACTTTTGACATGTAAGTTACCAAGCCTTTGTGTTTGTTAATCTTAATAATGGTTTTAGATGCAAGCTAACACACTCTGGACTGTTTGAAAATGGACATTTCCTTTTGTTACTATTGATTCTCGCTTTTGTATACCTGGTATGTTCCTTTTTTTGTAAGGCTGCCTCCAGGAACATGCAAGATAATGGGCACCCTTTGATATGATTGGGTATTCCATCTTGCCCCCTCAAGATTACTTGAGCTCAGAAGCCAAAAAACAAAAAGCAGTTGTAGTAGGTTTACATGGTCTGAAACTTGTGCAAAACATTTTCTGTTTCTTGCAAAATCTTTTGTGATTTCAAGCCTCATTTTTTAAGGACAGTAACAACAAACAAAACCACAACACTCTTGTAAACATACGGGTACAACGCAATTCTCCAAGTTGATACAATGCCTTTGCTGAAATACGGTCTTCAAGCCTCTTCTGGCCAAGCATGTCTTGATTTGACAGTGTGTCTGCAATATTGTTTTTTTATTGTTGAGTTACTTTGGTAGGAACCTGCCATATTAACCCCCTGCTTGGTCAATAATGGTCAATTTATAGCATTAATAACATTGTCAGGTTATTATGTTGGATTTTGCCTGCCTTGAACAACATTTTTATCCTAAATGTATTGATAATTTTTCTACTACATCTTAGATGTGGTCAGCTAGTCCTTAATGATGAGTGGTCGTTGTTGCATTAACTTAGGATCCATTGAGTGTGGCATTTCCATTATCCATGAATAATGACAAGACTTTATTGCCACAAAAATTGCTTGCGCATTCAAGACTTATCTGATTGGAATTTTCAGGCTATTTTTATCCTTTTGTTTCATTCCCAACATTTTATTGGTAATTCTCCTTACTGTCTGCCATACAATTCTTATGCAGTCAGTGCAGAGAATTTGATATCAGATCAACTAAAATCCCCTAATTGATTAATAATTTTGCTTCATTCTTATCCTTTGTCTGCTTTATATTCTGTTGATGTTGTAAGGAGAAATCCTGTCTTGGTCACTTATGGGAGTTAAAGAGTTAAGGGACTGAGGGATTTTAACAATGTTTCTTTTCTCTGACTAGCACACTGGATGCTGAAGATTATAATCGTCGTCTTTATGTTGCTGTTTGGGACTGGGACCGAGCATCACGTAATGACTTTATGGGTTGTTTGTCATTTGGAGTGTCTGAGCTGGTGAAACAACCACAAGAGGGATGGTTCAAGCTTCTAGGCAAAGTGGAAGGAAATTTTTATAATATTCCTATCATTGATACTGATGGAGAGGGCCCAGCAGTGTTGGAGTTAAGAAACAAATATAAGGTAATTATTTGGGGTTGTGTACACTTACATGTAAGTAACTCTTTCTGAGATCGAGATGGTTAGGCATTGGCTTGGTCATTTGTGAGAGGCATTTTTACCTGTTATTGTCAATGAAACAGGTAAATTGTTTTGTGGAGAGCCTAAATTCATTTGCTCTATCATTCACTTATTTGTTTGTTATCTACATGTACAAACAGTAATTCATAAGCTGTCTGCAACTTCTCCTACTTGCTCCATGGCCATCTATAGGTTAAAACTATGTTTTGTCAGTCAGCATTCATTTTTCATGCTGGTATAAGGTATATTTACTAGGTATCTGCAGTTTAATTTGATAGCTACATGATCATTTTGTACACGACATTAAATTTTCTTGTTATTTTAAAGACCTGAATATTATCTTATGCCAAAGAAATGAAACACCATATGCTGTCATAAGTTCTGTGCAGTATAAAGTTTTATTATCAATGTTATGTAATGGTACCATATTTATATCATCTATGTCTGGTTTCTTTCTCTTTTACTGCTCTTTTAACAAAAACTGACTTCAAATGGGTTGGGTCTACAGGTAGCTTGAAAACTTCAGGGTTCCTGCAATAATGATTGAACTTTGCTTTTTAAAAAATTGCCTGTTGATTGTACATAATTTTCTTATTATTTCAATTAATGTTCAAGCCAAAATAAAGTTTGTTGTTTTTTGTTGTTGTTGCTGTTACGGTAGCTTTAACACTTTATCACTCTAACCCTAAGCAGAGCAACTATGAATGCTGTTATTTTCTCAGGTTATTTAATTATTATGCACCAATACATACTGATTAGCATTTTCCTTGATCTTCAGTTTATGCAAGCACAACTGAAAGAAGAAGAGGAAAGACAGGAGAGAGAATACCAAGCAGTACAAGCAAATCGCTACAAGGGAGATGGTACCAGATACAGGCCAGAAGATTTTCACTTCCTCAAAGTTCTTGGCAAAGGAAGCTTTGGAAAGGTTTGTACAAAAAATCTGCTGAATTATTTTGATTTTATGTTCCCAGCACTGACTGATAACAGACAAATTGAATCAAAGGTAGATGACAGAGCTCAAGTTTATTTGTGCAGGTAAGTAGACTTCTTGCAAACTTGCTGCTTAGGAAAGTTATATTGTATTTCCTGAAATGCTTTTGTGAAGAGAGCGTCTCTTAAGGATAAAAGAAATCTATTGTACAGCTTCCCCCTTTGGGAATGGAACACAATCTGTCTTCTCTGGGACTTTCCCCTGTCAGGAAATCATTGGCATTTATTCAAACTGCAGTGTTTAACCAGACAGAGAATTTTTGAGCTGAAGAATTAATTTATTTGAATCGTAGTTTTTATGACTTGTTCTTTGTGTTTTAAGGTCATGTTAGCAGAGCGGAAAGGCACAGATGAAGTGTATGCCATCAAAGTTTTAAAGAAAGATGTCATTGTTCAAGATGATGATGTGGAATGTACCATGACAGAAAAGAGGGTGTTGGGCTTACACGGCAAACCACCATTTCTTACGTCTCTTTTCTGCTGTTTCCAGTCATATGTGAGTTATTTAGCAATAATATTACTTGAAATACATTTTTTGGCACAGTTTTGTTCAAAGGAGAGAGTGACAGATGTTCACCACTGATTAAATATTCATTAGTTAGTGGTATTTGTGACAAACTTAATAATATTTAACCATTTCAAGATCTCACTAGTAGTTCTCCTAACTGTATGCCATACAATTCTTATGAAGTTAGTTTAGAGAATTTGACATTGGATCAACTAATAATCCACTACACTTGTAATTGACTTTGCTCTTTATTCCTATCACTTATCTGCTTGATATTGTATTGATAATGTTACTAAAAATTCTTTCTTGGTCACTTATTGTAGGTAAAGGGTTCAAATCTTATTGAATTAAACTTTTTTTCCTTTTTTTTTTTTTAGGACCGCCTCTACTTTGTGATGGAGTATGTTAATGGTGGAGATTTGATGTTTCACATCCAGCAACATGGCAGATTTAAGGAGCCTCAGGCTGTGTACGTTTTGAGTGAAGTATTATAGTACATAAATTAGTTACTAGTCGTTTCATACCCAGTTAGGGCATTTTGTGCCCAAACAGTTAAATCGTTTTGTACCCAGCTGATAGCAAGTAAGTTGTTTTGCCCAGGAACATGCAAGATGAGAGGAATCCTTTGATATGATTGGGTCTTCCATCTTGCCCCCTCGCGATTGCTCAAGCTTAGATTTAAAAGCCAAAGAAATCCTTATGACAGGTTCATATTCTGTGAAACTTTTGGGAAACCTTTTCTGCCACATGGGAAATCTTTTGCAATGAAAACCAAGTTTGAGGACAGTAACAACAACCAAACCCACAACAAGCTAGTGAACATGCATGTATGTACAGTGCAATTCTCCCAGTTTGCTTAATAGTTTTGCTGTGTTACAGTCAAAGTGATACTGTCTTTGCAATAATATTAAGAAAAAAATTGATAAACGTGTATGCAGTCAAGAGGTGGAAAGATCAGACTGCATGTGCACACATTTCAGGGGTACTTAATACCTGAATAATTTGTCCTCTCTGTGTGGATTTTAGTTGCTGCCTGTCTCTTTTGCTCCCTGGTATATTGGTGTATTCGTAGGTTAAAAATTGTTTTATGGTTAGAAGGACAAACGTGTTGAGTGAGCTATTCTGTTTTGCATTATAGTTTCTATGTAGCGGAAATTGTCCTTGGCTTGCTGTTTCTACACAAAAGAGGCATTGTTTACAGGTACAAGTTATTACTGTTTACAATGTGTATCACTATCTTGTTCTCTGTATATTAACCCTTTACACCCCAACATCAATGTTCATATTCTCCATACACTTCTCTATACATCCCCTTTGGTACTGACAAAGAGAATTCGTGTAACAATCAAAACTTCATTGGTTGCTTATCATTTTCGTTATTCTCATAATCCTAACGAGTGGTTCAGCGGTATTACTGTTCGGAGAAGTTAGATACTGGTCACTTTCAGGGTTTACAGGTGTAAGTCACTCTCTTAGCTGTAGCGCCTTTTAATAAGTATTAACCCAGGGCTCCAAACTCAAAACTTTTGAAAATCGTTCTTTGGCGATGACCTTAAATCTTAAAATGGTCTCCAAAAAGGAAATTTTAGTGTCAAGATAAACAACTTGAGTCGCCATTTTTTCCTGTTTTGTTGTTTTCGTTTTGCTTTTGCCATAGCAACGAAAGCAGTTGTAGCTTGGAGTCCTATGAGCTGTTAAGGCAACTTAGACAAAAACGTATATGCCTGTGAGTCACTGTTAACGTTGTTGTATTTTTTATCCATGTACATACAGAGATTTAAAGTTAGACAATGTCATGCTGGATAGCGATGGCCACATCAAAATTGCCGATTTTGGTATGTGCAAAGAAAATATGATTGAAGGAAAGACGACAAGAACATTCTGTGGCACACCAGATTACATTGCTCCTGAGGTAACTCGTTATATTGGTGTGTAGTTTTACGAAGATCTTTTTGTCTTGTGTTGATATTCAGAGTGCTTTTGGACTGAGTCAAAAGAAACCATCGAGGCCAATCGGCGGGTAAAAAACTGGAAGGGGGAGCTTTTGAGAACTCAAAGGAAAACAAGCGAATTATCTGTGGCGCACGAAAGCGCGAGTGACCTAGTCAAGGTTGCTACCTGTTTTCCTCCTGATTGGTTGAGACGGCGACGCGGGTTATCTGGACCATTCACAGAGCAGCCGCTTAAAAATAACTTCAACTCCTTTTACAAAATTTCTTTGTCTGTAATCATTCAGACGGGGGAAGATACATGTACCTCTGAAATCAAATTCCCCTCTGCACGATCCTGTCATGCTCCTCGAATTCTAACAAACTGTGTGCTTGTGTTGCAGATTGTGGCTTACCAGCCTTACAGTTTTTCTGTGGACTGGTGGGCTCTGGGAGTTCTAATTTATGAGATGCTGGCAGGACAGGTCAGTATGTTGGAATCGAATTTTTTCGAAGTCGTATGGCACTTACTTACAGTCAGTTTTCCTCCACTGGATATCAACGAGTATTCTTTGCCCAGAGTTTCGATCAAGTCGAGGTTGAATTGAATTTTAACGTCGAAGGTAAAAGCGAACGAGAGTAAAACCCTCAAAGCATCAACAAAGACAAAAACCCACAACAATTTCAACCCGAGATGCAAAGTCTAGGAATCGAATTTGGTAATAGCGGTGGAACGCAAGCGCTTTCAACAACGCACCATCCCTATGTCTTCGCTGCTCCTTGCTTAGCAGAATTCTTTTTTTATCCTCAGTGTTAACATTTATTCACTTATTTGAACACTTTTTCTCCATTTTTCCTTTTTATTCACATAGCCACCTTTTGATGGGGACGATGAAGATGAATTATTTAACTCTATTCTGGAGCACAGCGTTTCGTACCCCAAGTCTTTATCCAAAGAAGCAGTGCTCATCATCAAAGGGGTACGCTTTACACCTAACTGAATATGTTACACTGCGTTTTGCGCGTTAGTTTCGTATCCAGACTTCGTGTTAACTGTTGTACGCTTGAGAGTCGAGGTGCTTTGCAATCGTTTTAATGGTTCAAAGCTTAAACCCGGCCCTAACTCGGTTCGCTTTGTAGAGGAAGTCCTCGGGGCCCTCGTTTAATTTCTCTCACAGAGAGAATCCACGACAGATTCGAGGTTTTGAGCAAGTGGCCCATACACTTCTTTTTAGCGATGAAATATTACTCCATCCTGTAGGACGACGATCAATCCTCATAAGTACTTTATGCCGATGCCGCAAAAACCAGTTTGATCCCCGATAGCTATGCGAGCTGATCTCGACTCCACCCTTAACTGTTTCACACGTTGTAAAAAAGTGAGAAGGTGCAAAATGTCATTGAGTGCAGCTCAAATTAAGCTACAAAGCTTTTTTTTTTCTCTTTGACGTGAAGTCGTAGCTTACATGTGTTATTTGATTCTCTTTTCTGTTGTAGTTCCTGACCAAACACCCAGCCAAACGTTTAGGCTGTGGAGAAAATGGAGAACAAAGCATCAAGGATCACGTGTTCTTCAGGCACACAAACTGGCTGAAACTTATGAACAGAGAAGTTCAACCTCCCTTCAAACCAAAAATTGTAAGCATTGTAAAGTACATGTAGGCTAGTAAACGGTAGTGAAGTATTATAGTCACTATATAGTGTATGGTACACTGACTTATGGCGCAAGATAATTTAACCAAATGAACGCGTTAGCGCAGCGCACGAGTTCGTTGTGAGTTTTGGCAATGATAAGGAAGATTCCTAGAAGTGGGCCGAGCATTGATTTGTCTAAAGGGGGTAAGTCTCAAAGAAACTGGGGTGCTGTGTCGATAGGGAGAGGGGGGGGGGGGAGGGAGAGGTGGAGTATTACGCGAATATTTTGTATTATCAACTGAGTCGACAATGTAAGTTGACCACCGTAATGAGCTTCTAAAGCTGACTTTTCGTCAGGGCGAATGAATATCTGCTAATTTAAAAACAAAAATTTTTTAAATGAACTGTGTATTTTGTAACCACTGAGATTTCCTTTACTCGGTTCCGATTGGATGATCTAGTGGAATTTTATTCTTTTACGTGCCATCACAGTTTACTCATTTTTTTGTGCATTTGTCCCTCAACAGAAATCCAAACGTTCCTTTGACAATTTCGACCCAGAGTTCACGGACGAAGCCGCCAGACTGACACCTTGCGACAAATCCTTTATCGCCAACATCAACCAGAATGACTTCCATGGATTCTCATTCGTGAATCCTGCTTTCCCAGCGAAAGAGAAAGAGCCATCGAGCGACACTGACATTAAAGTTTAAGAATTAATGATTAATTTACCTAGCTAGGTGATGAAATGTATTCGGGAGATGTTTCCGGTTTTGCGCTTGCGTGAAATGGTAAGGTATTTCTAATATTGTTGAAAGAAACACAAAAATGTGGCTTGCCCATGTAATTAAGATGTAAGTATTATTCCTTAAGAAGCGAGCTCAGACAAGCTGATTTGTTCCCTTTTGTGGTGCGGTTGTAAATGTGAACGAAAGGGATGCAAGTAACATGTAAGAGAAAGCTTTTTTCCTATTTTTTTTTCTTCTTTTTTCTGATCGTTCTAAAACCTCGACTCAGTATTCACAACGGCCAATTAGAAACAAGGCAGATATCAAAATTTCACCGAGAGTTCCGTGGTGCGGGCACAGGGAAAGGGGTGGGACATTTTGTTAAAAGAGGTGGAACCAAATTACGATTGGTTTTAAGTTTTTTTATCTGAATGCTTGGTTGAAGGGGAGGGCTCTAGTTTTTTATTTACTGGTAAGACAGTGATATAAAGCAAAACAAATGCAATCTCGCATGGCTTTCGACTACCGCTTGAAATTTGAGTTGTCTATAGGTAATCGGCCCTGCTGCATGCGTCCTGTGAATATCGTCTTTGCTGCGTAAGGGGGATAAGTTGGCTTGTTCTATGACTGCGTTTCATTTTAGCACAATTTATCTCGAAATAGATAAATCCAATTTGAATAAGTTGTAATAAATATGTGTTATGTATGTATTGTTGTATGCATAATGTAGCTAGGAAGCAAAAACATAGCGTATCCATTCTGGGAATTTAGGGTGATATAATTGAGTTGGGGTTTTACTTTGAATTTTTGCCTTCTTTTGGTTTTCTTATTTTTCCAAATTGGTGTCATGAAAATCAGGGTGTAAAGGAGAATTGTATTTTTTTTCCACTGGTTCCTTCATAGTTTCTGCCCTGTGGAACTGATTGAATTGCAAAATGTCTCAATTTTTTGTCATTATTTTGTTACTGCACACTTTGCGGCACCTTTTTTGAATGATTAAAAGGGTGAATTGTTCCCAATTATATGACATTTAGCCAGTACTGGTGAGTTTCCTTTTTCTTGTGCTATGAAAATTTAGATAGTTATTGATTGCATCAGGAAAGCTGTAAAATATAGCGATTTATAACACGAAACTAGTTTCAGTGACACTGTACTTAGCCCTTTATTGAGTTTTAACTTCCGGTAGTTCGTGAAGATTCCTTTAAATTTACTAATTTCTAAAGTTAGCGACTGCTAAGAAATGTCCCACGGTGCTTTAGTTGATGCATCTACTGACGTTAATCTCTAAGAAGAAGTTTAAGTTAAAAAACTTTTAGCCTGAGGTTGTTTGGTGAAAGACCCAAAAAGTTTGACGTAAGTTGTTTTCCAAGGAGTAAAACAGATGAACTTGCAAGAAAAGGAGATCTGGATCGTCCTCTTAAATATTGTAAAATCTTTTTAGTTTTAGCTTCTTCTTTGATGTGGAAAATTTTTTATTCTAATGATTAAGGGTATGGGTTTTAGGCGTGGCATGAAGACGAATTGCAAAATGGGAATTTAATTGATCATTGTAGTTAGTAGGACATTCAGAAAATTCAAGAGTTGAACCGCTTATGTTTCCCATTAGGTGTTAATATCAGCTGTTGAAATTTCTTTCTTCTGATTGGTTCATATGAAGTTTATTTGTTGTGAATTGCCTTCAGTCGTCGTTATGTGTCTGTTACCCTTCTAAATTATTACGAGACTGCTGCAAGTTAATTTGGACATCAGAGTTCCGATGCTATCCGTTGTAAATTAGTTAGGAGAATTAGGTGTTACGACAGGATGGCATCCTCAAGCTGAAGTGAGAATAAATTCTCTTTGAAAATTTTTTCGAAATTAAAATTGCGAAGAGAAGTTACGTTTCGATTATTTCTTTAAGTAGAGTGAGTAGAATTGTTTTTAGTTTGACTATTTTGTTCAAATACCAGATGTAAAAAAATTTCCTTATATTTCTGTGTACTTTAACTTAATGCTTAGAGCGTTTTCTCATTCCAGCAGAGTGATGATCGCTTATATTTGTGGCTATTTATGAATTATGGAAATTTTGGTTTCCTTGTATACGTTAGCAATAACAGTACTTGCTACGCTGACTTTTCACAATTAATATCTTTGTTGCGAATTATGGAACAAAAGTTTTCAGTATTGTTAGCAATTGTTCCCTCAAGTGGAGGTAAATATCCACCATGTTGCACCGAAACTTTTCGTATAGACCACAAAAAAAATTAAGAAAAAAATTGTTTATTTCTGACAATATACCAATAAATGGTTGGGAATTAAACTCGTGACGCGCAATTTTGTCTCCTCGGCTTCTCGGAAGTGAATATTACTAGCTTATCTCTTCCAAAGTAGCCAATCAATACGCGTGAAAAGCAGTATTTAATTGTGTGGTATATACTATACTTAAATAATCCAGGCACTGTACTGCGGCATCGATGTAAAGTGTTAAGCTAGGTGGCAAGGAAATTCATAGCAATTCAGTTTAACAGAGTCACGCAAGTACTAATTAATTCTTGGTAATTTAAAATTTCTCAGGAGGGAGATTAAATAAAGAATGTGTTGTGAATGTTTATTAAAAGGCACAGTCGAGTTGCAATTATGTCATTCTCACCGAGTTTATCAATATACTGCCGAGTTGAGTACCTATCATAGTAATATGCTATTGCGTATTCCTTAAGACTGTTGTCTTCTAAGTTTGGTATCTCCTGAGTTTAAGCCTAAAATCACCCACTGTTCGTGATTCAATGGATCACTATTACAGCTCAACTTGGGATATATCGCGGGTGACTCACTCTTTGGGGTACTTACGTTGAATTTTACAAGATTTCGATTAGCAAGTAACCACTTTTTCTACTGAGGGGAAATTACGTCTTATTTCAGAAGTTTCCGTCTAGATTCCGACGGTTCCCGCCAGTTTCCGACAATCTCGACTTCAGAGGATTCGTCTGATTTCGGACACTGCATCCAATTCCGGACGGTTCCGTCTGATTTTCGATGGTTCAGTCCTTCACGGACTGTTCCGTTTCCGTTCGGTCTGTTACGTCTCTTCAAATAATTCCATCGCATTCGTCCGGTTACATCTTGTTGTGGACGGCTCTGTCCGAGGTCAGTTGGCTCCTTCTTTATTATCATTACGATTGCTGTTATTTTTTTCACCATTTTAACTCCCAACTGTTTTAATTATTATCCTCAATGGACGGCTAGAAGGTTGGCGAAGGGTTAAATTCAGATACTCTGGAATTTCATCGGTTTGTAGTTGGTCGCCTGATCCTGGATCTTGTTAACCCTTTAAACCCTAAGAGTGACTAACATCAAATTTCTCCCTACCATATCATCCCTGAATCACACGTTAACGTAATGAGAATAAAGGAAATGATCACCAACGACAAGAGCTTTTGATTGGTAAACAATTTCTCCTTGTCGACACCTTACGAAATGCATTAAGAGCGTTTTGGAGAATATGCATACTTATTTTTAGGATGTAAAGGGTTAAATGAAGTCGAACTGAAGGGTGGTTACGTGAAAAACGGCGGCTAACGAGAAAACGGCTGCGGTTTCTCTCGCATCAACTCTTTAGCTCGTGCCTAATGCCTGAGAGCCTGGCTTGGGTTATTCGGTCACGTGAACAAATCCTTAGTCGCCAGGTATATCCTGAAAATTACCAAAACCGTAGGAAAAAAAAAACAGAGCAACTCTGAATCTAGATCTCTATCTTCTGAGACTTATTTGATATAGAAAGGAAATCATTTTGCTCTCCCTTTGTCTTTCGCTGTGTGTTTTTGTATGACTTTCCACGTCTTCGGAAGCTAACCCATCATAACAGAAGCAAAGAATTGTTTTAATGTTTCTGCGTTCAGCGTTTGTAGTTGAGAACCCTTGGCAACGACATCTGCTGCTTCAAGCAGTAGGGCATACTTTTCTGCATTTCATTTTCTACAGAAACCTTTTGGAACAATAGATAACACAAAAGAATCTCTTAAAATTGTCTTGGAATCATTGATATGGTAAACAGGATTTGTTTGTTACCGCGTATCCATGATAACCAAAAATAACCTTGCAATTTAGTCTATTAAATGATAATTCGATGTTGTTTGTCAGGACTAGTGGGAGGGATTGAATAACGACAGAAACGTTCACATTAATTTAGTGTTGACCATCTTTTGCGGGCAAAGAAGCTGCGACGACTTGTGTTGAATGCTAGTTACCAAATCGACCGTTAGTTAAATTCAGTCGGATAGTCTTTGTCATGGAGAACTGTCTATAAATCATGATAACCTTAGTTTAGTTATAACTGGACTCATGCTTGTTTACCTTTGATTTATTTGTACTTACTTACTTACGAAGCGTTTAAACGCACCTTGGTACGAAAACAAATAACAAATAGCGCACTCGAACGTCTTTCTACACACTGTGGTGGAATCAGTTTCGCCCGGACGTTAAAAGACTTTTTAATTGATTCTTTTGTAGGTTCTTTGATTTAAAAAATCGGTGGCCTGATATAGTTCACTTTACATATTGCAGAACCTGCTATTTAAAGTTATCAGTTATTGTTCTTGTGTCCGTGCCCCCGGATTTAATTTAATGAAGCCATTCCTAATTTTTCAGATATTTAACACTACCATGATCGTTTCCTGGAAACGAACTACGAGTCATGCATAATTCATATCATAATTGAGCGTTTCTTGTATACCTAATAATCACACTGCAAAACAGAGGAACGCACTTGTTTGTTTACTCAGAGATTAGTTTGATCGATGCTCGTTCAGGATAGGAATGCGTAAAACTTGACAGATATGAACCGAGTGGCACCAGCTAAAGGTTAGTCTGCAAGTGATATTGAAAGCTATCGGTGCTAACAGTAAGCATCAGTGTTTTGGAACTGATATTCGACCATCATCGTCTTCTAATTTTGTACAGATTTTCGCTTCATTGAGTTGACATCCAAATAATTCTCCCTCGGAAAGAACGTTCTTAATGAGTTTTAATTCTCAGGAGGAGTTTTCAGTTATTTTCTACAATATATTAAAAAAAATTGTTTTCATTGATAACGCAGATTTAGAGAGTGGTGAAGATTTGGAAGACTCTTTGAATATAGACCATTTTCAATCAGATGAAGCGGATACCCCTGAACCACAGACTCAGCGATCGCGGGGAAATGTCCGCCCTGAATCAGGCTTCAGGTCAATCCACATTCCCGCGGGCAGCACAAAAGCTCATAGAAGGAGCTCTTTACGACGTGCTTCCTTGAGGAATGCTAACAACGACCTTGAGCTTAATGCCTTAAATGCCGATGCGGCTGATGAATGGTTACCGACTCCAAAGGAGGTCACCAGACGTATGTCTGAAAGGAGGCTATACAGGTCAGTTTTTTGTCATTTAATTATTGGGAAAACATGGCTTCGAAACTGTAAACAGTAGCGCGATGGAGCGCGCAGGACGGCTTTAGAAGTGTTTATGGCCTTTCGATCTCGAATAACCTCTCGCTTCAGAAAGCTCCACAGTTGTTGTTTACAACCTCAAACCATCGTATGTATAAATTGGCCGGTCTATTCTGCATTTGGCTAGGTCAGAATGAGCAGTTATCTTTGCTTGAGAAAGTTGTTTGCTAATCAGCTTATTAACGTACCATTTAGACAAATATTCAACTTATAAGGGACTTAACTGCATGGCTCCGTTTGGATATCAAAATAAATAGACTCACAACACACCTGCTGTCTGATTAGGTATTTTTCATCTCTTTTCATTAATAATAGTTCATTTAAGAATCGGCCCGGTAATTTCTTGCGCCTTTCAACGAAAGCTGTTATATTTTCGCGAGGATGCAATTTTTCAGAAATACATAATATGCCTTTACAGCACTGGTAAAACGAATAAAAATATTTATCTTTTAAGTCTCAGTAATCTGCAACGAGGGATTCACTAGAGGTTTATGGCGTCACTACAGCCAATATTACCGAACTCCACAAACAAGTTTTTATAAACTTGTTTTCGAGTATAATCTCGTCCTCCAAATTAGCTTTCGGTGTCATGGCAAGTTTTCGGCCTGTGTCGTGTTCAGTAACGAAAGTGTTTATTTGGCATGGTTGTTAGTACACTCATTAGATTTTTGTTTAAATCTTTGATGGACTTATCATAAAGAGGCTCGGACGATAAGGTGAATAAATTGAGATTTTAAGACACTTCACCTTAACCAACGCACATGTTTGGCATCTTCGTTTTAATCTGGTCCAGAAATATATTTGAAATGCTGGAAAATTTTATTGACTGCTGAACAATGTTTTCAATTGCGCAAGAAATTTTAAATGAATAATCGTAACACCTTGGGGAGTTTGCGTCTATTTTTGCAGCACGTAATTGTATGTGGATTGTTGTTTTGCATGTCAAAAGAAATAAATCAAAGCAATTGATAGTTCTCTCGCCATCAGGTGCACTCCATGTTCGATTTAAATCGTTTGAAAAATAAATAAGAGGTTATTTTCCACACAAAGTAATTAGTCTTTATAGAACCTGTTGTGCTGCGTGGGCGAGTAGGTAGAACATTTTGCAATTAGAAGTTGCTGAATGTCAATAAACCGCTCAGGTGTCTTTTGTAGAGCTTGTGTTCCGAGCGTTAGCCCTTGCTCTGAAACATTTTGCAAAAATCCCAGTGGATCTCATTTTGAGGAGAGGAAAATAAATTGAGAGGAGAAATCATGGACAGCTAAAGAAATTGTTCGTCCCATTTTTTTTATGTTCTAATTTCCGGAGGCTAACTCATTCCCTTCAAATTTCTCCCTACGAGTTAACAAGCTCGAGATTTTTTTATATCTTTTCTCTATTAACTGACATGAGCACACAAGTTTAAAAACATTCTGAAACCGTCTCTCCAAAAATCGATTGGAGAGAACTGGTAGTTATCCGTCGTAATTCAGATTGTTAGGCAAGCGGTTAGAAAACCGTGTTAGGCTGATCGAGTGTAGGTGGGTCAGTAATAATTAAAAGAATATGGTGAGCTCCCTCAACTGTTAAGTAACATTTTAACTTGATTACGAACTTGAGGAAGGCAGATAAACGGCATTGATAACTTTTGAAAGTTTGAGGTCGTGAGTTTTTGCCCAACATCGAAGCAAATGGCCAGTAACGGGCGTTCAGTTGGTAAACGAGGCGCGGTGAGGCACGATAGTGAAAAAAAGTGGGGCTTGGGCGCAATCCTTTCTAAGTAATCTTCTTTGGAAGTCTCGTGCCACTTGCGCCTCGTTTATTAAGCTTCGGTTTACGGACTAATTAAACACTCGCTGCAGGCAGCGGAGTGGAGCCAAGGGATGACGCTCGAAACATCACCTTTCCGATCTTCGTTACAGCGTGCCTCTGTTGAATCTACCAGAACACCACATGAATCTTTGATCTCCCCTTTAATCTTGAACTTAAATCTCACTTGTGATCGCAATATTTCCACAGTTTCCCTTCAAGAAAATATGAATCTTTTGTATTATAGGAAGTCGATCAAAAACGCTCAAAGATTGAAAAAACAGCGTATCTCCAGATGGAAAGCCTTCAAAATGCAAATTGCCATGGTAAGTAACGTTATCTATTAGCGAATAACATGCACCAAAAAAATTTCTCCGCGCTGATTGGCCAAGAGAAATGTAATAATAAATAATAGAGTCGTCAAAATGTTTTGTCTCATAAAGTACGCTTTAGAACACACTTAAACAACAGAAACTGTATTATAGTTGTACATGCGTAATGCGCATACGCAATTCACAGAATAAAGTTTTAGAGGTTTCTTCGCCCGGCCGCCATTTTGGCAAAACACATCGCGGGTTTTTGATTGACTACCTTTCCTTTTGATATACATCAACCACTGGCCCAGACCATCTCAGTAAACAGTTCAACTGAGCAAAAGTACCTTGGATTCTCGAATGTTAATGTCCGATTAAAAAACAAATTTATGAATATTCCAGTAATCAAAATAAAGAAGTAGAACTGAATAAAGTGACAATGGGAAGCTTTGATATGAAGGAATTCGTTTTGTGATCATTTATTTCTAGAATAGGGAATTGTAGGATAACTATCTCTTGAATCAAACTGAATAAATCCAACTTGAGCTAAATGTCAGCAGCTCACCTCAGAAAGCATTTATTTATTACGTATTGCTGAGTTTTTTTCACGTTTCTAATTATCCTTTACCCCTTAAAAGTCATGGAAGTTGACCAAAACAGCAGTTTCAGAGTGGAGTCGGGATTACGAGCTATGGAAAGGACATCTAAAACGTGTAGAAGGTACACAAAAAGGACCGTCAATTATAGGCAATCATATTTGGATGCTATTATTGTTGTGTTTCATAGAAATCTTAAAAAAAAAAGAAACATCATCATCAGGCTGTTTTTGGGCATTATTGTCTGATTTTAATCACGTGTCCAATTTTAGACACCAGTATACCATTTTAGACACTAGTGCTTTATTTTAGACGCTAATGTCCAACATCAGACACTAGTGTCTTATTTTAGACACCAGGACATCAGTGTCTGGTTTCGGACACTAGTGTTTTTGGACATAGTGTCCGATCTTGGACTCTATAGCCCGATTTTAGACATGGGCGTCCGATTTCGAACACTAGTGTCTGATTTTCGACACTGATGTCTGATTTTAGATACGAGTGTTCGATTTTAGACATTAAAACCTTGTAAAGTGTAATTTATGACCAGTTAGAAAATGGGCGAGGTAAAATTACCATCTATGTTTCACTGCCCCTTTTTGAAATGTTCATAGGCGGTATATGACCCAACTGACCTCTTATAATCAATCATTTTATACCAAAAAAGGTATGTAGGTTGGTCAATGAGATTCCAGAATTCTCTTCTGTATTGAACACGACATATGAGTCATATTGGTTAATTTTTTTTTCTATCGCATTATTGATTCATTTATTTTTTGGTTTATGAACGAAGGCAGAGAAATCCAAAGTTATTTTTAAACTATTTCGCATTTACAAAGGAGGATTCACTGATTCTTTCATCTATTTCCTCTGAAGGTCGCTTCGGAAATGGAGTATCGTCCTTCTTTGTTTTTCTCAAGTTACTGTTTTTCCTTAACATGGCGACCTTCATTTTGGAATTTGGATTCGTTACATTACCATCAGTAATCATTGAGCCAAGCACAACTTCAAATTCGTGCACCTTTACCACAGCCGAGACGCAACAACGAAACACGTCGAGTGCTGCTGTTGCTGCAGGGTATGAAGTTGCAGATTTTATTTCTGGAAAGGTGAGTTTTTCTGGCAGACATCAGTGAACATTTTAGATCACTTTTTGATTAAGTGTTGACAAAGAAAACTCAAAGTAACCACAACAGCCAATCAGAGCTAAGAAAGATGTTGCAAGGAGCCAATGAGAACTTACCTGAAACGGTGCCTGAAACGCGGGTAAACACGGGTGGCCATGTCGCAATTTGTGTTCGTTTTGAATCTGATAAGTCGCGAAAGAGGCGCAAGTTTTTTGGACTAATCAATAAATGTAAAACCAAATCAATTTCCGATTACTTGCGACACTCGATTGAAAACAGATCTATCGCAACAAATTGCACTTGTTTTAAAAACAGGGAGTTAGATATATAGCAGCGATTGAGCTGAAGAAACCAACGAGTAAGGAATTACCTTTCATTGTTTCCATGTGTCCTCTATCAGTTGCAATTATTAGTAGAATGGCGATGGTAATCCGAGATATGCGTTGCTTTTCTTCAAGTTCTCTCTTTAACTGGTTTAGGAACCCTGCGTCACTCTGTCACTTACTAATCAAATGCAACCGTAGAAGACCTTGACCACTCGTGTCACTAGCGTTTTCCTGGATAACGGGCTTGTGTTTTCTTTGAATTTGCTGTAATTTCCTCTTCATTCTGATTGGCTGTTCATTCTTAGCGCGTTGGTTTCTTTTGAATGACACTCAACTGAACGCACCTTATGGCAGATTGAAAGTTTAACATAGAAGCGGCCAAGGATAACAACAATTTTTTCCTTATTGTTGACTTTCAGGGCTGGATAAGTACAACACTGATGTTTTACGCTGGATACGGGGACTCAGAGTTGATATCAAATGCCGGTGTCAAATATAACCTTCCGTTAGCTTATCTCCTGGTCGGATGGTCTTTTTTTATCCTCAGTCTCATACTTGTGGTCCGAAGGTTTGTCACTTAGGATCGCATAATTTTATTTACCTATAGCTGTTTCGAGAAAGTTGTCAGAAAAATAAGAAAAAGGACAAAATTGCATGCGACAATCTCAACAGGTTATCTGGGTATCCAGTTATTTATGAATTTCCATAAATCTAATAAGTAAACAAGTTCATCAAACCTTCTATGCCTCTTCCTTATAGTGACGTTTTCTCGGATTACCCTTAAATCCTAGGTCAAGGAGCCGTGACCTCAAAACTATCCACATCACCTTCCGATTTACAAACCATTATCTGATTTTGCATTCGTAAAAATTTTCTTTTTCGGTATTTCGCGCCATAGCATGAGGAGCTTTGGCCTCGAAAAAGACTCGCAGCATGCATTCTACGATGGTGCTATATTTCTGTCATTAGTGTAGAGAATTACATCAATGTTTGCGGCCGGTAGGTGTCTATGCGGTTACTTAAACCTGTTGATTATAAGTTAAAGGTTCACCTAATGATTAATACTTCATCTATGCGCAAATTTCAATTACGAAAACACAATAAATCTTGGATTGAAATCACTTAGCACGATCTCATTATGGAGGCCGAAGTCTTCGATGGATCGGCTGAGCTTTCTAGAGTTACTAAATCTAATGGATGCCTCAATTTTCAGTCAAAAGAAAGAGTCCAGACAAAGAACGATCTCATGATATTGATTTGTGTGAATTCAATTTTTCGTGCCCTCTTGAGTAATGTATACCTGAGGGTTAATCTTTAATATCTTCCATACCCTCTTGGGTAGTGTATACTTGAGGGTGTTATTTCTAATCTCTTGCACACCCTCTATGTCAATGCGGCTAAGAGTAGTACAGTTTTAGTTTTGGATAACTCTAACGTGAACATATATATATATATATTAATGAAGAGTAATATATATATATATATATTATGAAGAGTAGACCTCACTTAGCTTAAATATATACAGTGGTTAGTCAATTGGTGGGTCTATTGTAATCTGAGATCGATATTCAGTAGGGAGTATTTGTTCTCATGGCGGCATTTGGAAATTAATTCAGTTCTTTTGTTGAGGTTGCTTGTTTTGTTGGCTTTAATAATGTAGAGTTTTTCAGTTAGGCAATGGTTGTATAGTTTGGAAATATTGTTGTGAGCGCTCGATAGACCAGCTTATTTTGTAATTTTCATGGTTTTCCTTGAGTTTCCAAATGTGTTTTGTTAGTTCGGTGCGGTTAGCGTATTTCCTGTGACGGAATGATAGTTTATGTTGCGTATATCGTTGTTTGAATGTTCCCTCTGTTGGTCCGATGTAGATCTTTCCTGTGTCGTCTTTGTCTGTGGTCACGTTAGCTTAGTAGATTACGCTTGTGATGAGGCAGTTGTTGTCGAGCGGGCATTGGTCTTTTTTTTCTACAGTTGCATCCGTTTTGCAGTGGAATGTTGTTGTTGGTTAGGATTTTCTTGTTATAATTGTTGATGATGCTGCCTATGTATGGCATCCAGCTGTAGCTTACTTTCACCCAATCCACCCGATCCACCCAATCCTTCCAATCCATCCACTCATTCCAACCCATCACATCCTTCGAATCCCCCAATCCAGTCAAACCACCCAATTCATCCAATCCTTTATATCCATCCATTTCTTCCAATCCACCCAATCCATCCAATCCTTCCAATCAATCCAGTACCTCCAATCCACCCAATTCTTCCAATTCACCCAATCCTTCTAATCCTTCCAATCCACCTAATCCTTCTAATCCACCTAATCCTTCCAATCCACCTAATCCTTCCAATCCACCCAATCCTTCTAATCCTTCCAATCCACCTAATCCTTCTAATCCACCTAATCCTTCCAATCCACCTAATCCACCCAATCCTCCTAATCCATCTAATCCTTCTAATTCACCCAATCCACCTAGTTCACCTAATCCACCTGATCCTTCTACTCCCTCCAATCCACCTAGTCCTTCTAATCCACCCAATCCTTGCAATCCATCCAATCCTTCTAATCCACCGAATCCTTCTAATCCTTCCAATCCACCTAATCCTTCTAATCCACCTAATCCTTCTAATCCTTCTAATCCTTCCAATCCACCTAATCCTTCCAATCCACCTAATCCTTCTAATCCACCTAATCCTTCTAATCCACCTAATCCTTCCAATCCACCCAATCCCTCTAATCCACCCAATCCTTCTAATCCTTCCTATCCACCTAACAATTAATAAATAATTATTACCTTTTTGAATGCGATCAATGTCCATGGTTTTCTCGTGATCAGAGCGTGGCTGATGTTATTGTGGCCTGATATTTTGAAGCTTTCTTCAATAATTAAAAAAACACGATGGAGCAGCCTGCGGTAAAAAAAAAAGCGCTTTTCTGCTTAATCAACGGACAAATTGAAACTGATGGAGCAGAGGGACACCGACATTGCGGTTGTTCAAAGGTGTATCTGCAGAGTTTATGAGAAATAAAGTCGCATTGTCGTGAATTATCGCCAATAAATTATCGTTAATAAAATTGAGTTAAAAAATCACGATGTTTTTCACTTAGACAAAGTAGAAGGGAGAAATGATTAATATCATTTCAGCATTTTTTGCAGAAGATTTATACTCTCGAACGTGAACGAGAAATACGAACATTTGCATACAAATTTTATAGTCCACTTTTTAAAGTTTTCTCCAAAGGCGCAATTAATACAAGGATTAATGCGGCTGTAGGACGCCAACCAGATAGGAAATGATATTGCCCAGTAATTTACATAGTCAAGATATAGCAGTGCCACTATAATATAGAAAGATAGCCCACAAAATAGCGATTGCGATCATTATCGGGGAAACCTTCACTACTTTCGCTGTAGCTAGCTTAGAAATATGATATTTTGATATATATTGTGACATTTGTTTGTCCTTTCTCTCTCACGTGAATAAATGCATCCGAAGAAGACGCCGTCAAGTTGTGTGTCTCATACATCACTGGATAATAATAGTAAAATTACCGAGGAAAAAAGGAATATAGCCATGATACTAGGTTTTACACTTGACAGCAGAAGCCATTTAAGGTTCCAAGCAATATAAAATGATTCCAACCCGACCCGGTTGAAAGTATTTAAATTTGCACCTCTTGACTTTATTCCTATTATTAAGTTGTTTCACAAAAAGCGGTTCCAAAATGACCACCCTGGCCACACTCTGGCGGTTTTGACTTTTTTGACCAGGTTCATAATGCTTTTTAAATCAGATTCTTTTATATTTGTGATTTCTTCCGTCTTACCCTGACATAATGAGTTAGTCCTCTTCTATGTTGATCTTCTAAAAACCTTATTTTGGCGATATGTAGACCACAACAAAAATCAACCAACCAGAACAAACCACAACAGCTTTGATGAACCTTTCTTGCCTTAGTAAGATGTCGAAAAACTTCATCCGAGAAGAAAGGATTTTTGACATATTAACTTGAAAGAACGAGTGAACATGTCCACAATGTAGGAATTACTTTGTTTATTTGAGATGAGGGGCATATTGACGTGAAAGAAATAAGGTATCAAAGAGGACATTCCATACATGCAACTGGCAAAGTTCATTGTTAGTCAGGGTAATACGCTTTTTCCGACCCTTTTTTTTGTACAAGATTACTGGCTGGGTTGTTGTTGTAAATAATATATAATTTAACCGGTAACGAAAAACCCTGACCAGTTATTTAGTTATGCTTCAGACTCTACAGGTGACTTGCCATTACCTTTTTCCAGCAAAAAAATGTTGCATGTCTCTCTTTTCTAGTTTAGGGGAAAGTTTAGCAGAAACGTACCTAGATAGTGGAGGGAGCCTGTCTTCATTCTGCAACCAGATTTTTGCCGGTTGGGATTTCTGCATCACAAATGAGAAAACCGCCCAGGAAAAGGAGCTGAGTTTCTTGCAAAACGTCAAGGTATGTCCTTTGTAAAAATTATTAGCTTTGATAAAAGAATCGAGGACCAAGACTTTGAATTCCTTTCGCCATGACAAGCTATGATGAAACAAGAAGTAGTTTCTAGTTTTTAAAATAATCTCGAATGATTCTTTGTATTCTCTAACTCAGGCTCAATTTGCTGAAGAAGAACGACAGGAAAAAGTACAAAATCGAACGACTCAAATAAAGTGTCAGCTCTACACAATAAGAATTGTTTGCTTCTTGCTGGTGTTAGGGTTACTTGGAGGGGCAATTTATGCCATCATTTTATCTGTATCAGCTTCTACAGATCCGGTAAGTAAAACATTTATCGTAATTGCAACTATCATGACACTGATTAAGTCCTTTTTGTCCCTAATAGAACATAAGACCGCTACACCCAATCTCCATTTTTCAAGGTTTTTTATCTCCTCTCTTTTACTGTGGACGATTCGTACATATATTTATATATATATATATATATATATATATATATATATATATATATATATATATATATATATATATATATTTATATATATAGCTCTACTGCCCCATTCATCCGACTCTTAAATCATCTGTTACAATAAAGATAAGCCAGTTCATTTAGTCAACTTTTATCCACCCGTACTCCTGCTGTTGGGTTCCTGATACAACGCTTTCCTACAAATGGAGCTCTGACCGGCAGAAATAAGATCATTTTCTTTTTTCTGAAATGCTTTATTTGCTTTATTAATATATTTTTGGTTCGGGGTAAGCGGAAGCAAAACATACTTAATCCCTTTAACTCCCGAAATCTGATTGTAAAGTCTCCCCTCCAGCTGCTACCCATTTCCTCGGGAATTAGTTATGAGAATTTGGTGTTAGATCAAGATAACAACTACCTGATAAGTTCTAGCATTCTCATTACCTGTTTGCTGAAAAATTTATGGATATTACAGGGAGAAGTTAATCACTTCTGGGAGTTAAAGAATTAGGGAAAGCAGGTCTAAAAATGTTTTTAATTGAAAGAAATTTCGTTTTTACCTAAAGGGGGCAATCGTTTACCTAACTTTCATCTATTTTCCTTCAAGCGCATCTTGCTTTCCTCCCGTTTATTTCCCTTTTAGCTCTTCCCTTTTTTTCTTTCTAGTTTCCACTTCCAATCAAGCAACCCTAAACTAATACAGGAATTTGTTCTGTTTCTTATACAGGAAATTATTGAGAAAGCAAGCCAATTTCAAAGTGGAGAGGAAATATTGCGCTTTGCCCCTTCGCTAACGATCACCATTCTAAATATCTTACTACCTCAGATTTTTAATATTTTAGCAAAATTTGAGGATTGGAGTCCAGCATTTGAAGTTAACATAACTTTGTACAGGTAGGAGCTAAATTACACTTTCATTTTAAACACTGCTTCACTAAGACTGAAAATGTCCCACCCAAGATTGCACTGCAAGCCTCCCTACCAGAACTCAAACTTATTCCGGTTTTCTCTGCATGGAAACTGAGAAAAATTATCGACATAATAAAAATTCCATAAATGACCAACTAAACTGTCCGTGAAACTTCTGTCTGGCTTCACAGCTGCCAGGGAAGGAAATAGATACGTCTACTTACAGCTCTCTTTTGTCCGATTATCCCATTACAGAAATATTATCTTAAAGCTGGCTTCATTAGTCGTGCTTATGCTGAAGATATACACACAAGTTGGCGAAACTTGCGAAACAAGCCCAGAGATGTGTTGTAAACAGGTAAGGCAGCTTCAGGATAAAAAAGAAAAAAAAAGAGTTCAGATCGAGACCGCATGCCCCTCCTAATAAGGCTCCCTTACAAGGAACAGTAACTGCTCAAATCTTGGGCGTTACTGGAGCGGTTACATTATTGCCAGAAAAATAGAGACCTAGAGCGTTACGGGACAAAAATCTTTGGAATTGTCTCACCCCCTTAGATCTGACGCTGATTCTTTCTTTATTTCTCCCTTTAACTAAAAAGTACAAGCAACACGTCCAATTATGTGAACCCAGTACTTCTTCATATTATCATTCCTACAAAATTTCATTTCAATTGTAAACCAGGTTATTGATATTTTTTTTCCAGTTCTGGGAGAACGAGATCGCTTCACAGATGTATATGTTGATATGGATTGACTTTTTTATTAATATATTTTCAACTATTATCGTTACTACGTTGTGGAAGTAAGTTCACCACTGTGCAGTGAGTAAGTAATTATAATTGAAGTTTGAATGTTTGGATTTGATACTAGATTTCATTTCCGGGCTAGACATTTTTTATCATATTCCCTTTGGATAAACACTTTTCGTCCCTCAACCGCATCTTCAAGTCTTGGTAACTAAATAGTCACCGGAAATTCTTCGCCAGTCTCGTCTGTAGACATATTTTGAAGGGAGTTAATTAGTCAAGGAAGTGAATTTTTCTATGGTTGATAGTCACCACAGATCCTTTAAAGATTTATATATAAGGTTATTGATATGGAAAATTCGAAGGACATGATGGCCTTATTTTCTATGCGAAGAACGTCTGAATTATGAATGTACTTGCCGGAGTTATTCTTCTCGATTCAATTCTAACCATTGAAGGAACCTCTCGTTGCATCTTCCATGAAAATGTTCTTACATAATGGCCTTTAATCTCATAGATTGATGTATAAACACACACAGTGCTTCAAGAAGGTTGGCATGCCGGTGTTTGACATTCCAAAAGAGGTCTTAGGACTTGTGTATGGCGAATGTTTGATTTGGTGAGTTTTTTGCGTTCTTTGGGATGTCTGGTCTTGTCAGGGTTAAGGTGAAACTATATACTTAGCATACAATGAGGCTCTCAGTCGTGCTGTGACACAAGCAGCGAAGCTCTCGGGTTTCGAGCTCGCGAGCTATGCAAGAGGTGTGCGACGGGTCTAGCAAAAAAAGTTTTGTACGCTCGCTTCGATTGCCGGATTTAACTCTCGTGTACTTCACCAGTTGTACTGGAGGGTGTACGAGAGCCTGCTCACAGGCTAAACCAAAATACGATGAAGGGAAAGTACCTGAGCATACATGAGCTTCAACTTCCTCGGACACTTTTGTTGGTAGGGTTTTGGTGGTGAGAAGATCATTGTGAATTTTAGTGTAAATATAACCTATTATCTCACAACGTTTGCCCAATCGGATACAGAAAAACAGCGGTAAATGAAAACTTTTGAATTATTGTATTTCTTAGTCAGGGCTGCATGTAAGTTTTCATTAGAGGGTTCTTTTCTTATTTTTAGGATTGGAACATTTTTCAGCCCAATTATGCCAGGAATGGGTGCCGTCAAGTTCTTCATTTTATTTTACGTCAAATTGGTACGTAATCATCTGTTTGGTCACAAAGCAACGCGGGCTCACTTAAGTCAACGGCATAGACATACAGCACTCTATTCGGCACATCACCTGTATTTCTTCTATGAGGTCCACTGGTTTCCGCGTATTGTTCCTTAATGATTTTGAAGGAGTATCATTACTCTTTCGTTTTCCAAAAAAAATGTGACTTAGACGTCTTAACGTGACATGCTCAGAAAAGAACCAAGAAGATGACTGATTGAATAGACCCCTTTTTTAATGTGTCCCTAGATAAGGGTGGATGCCCTGCATGAACACGTCCATGTTCTCATCATAAGACTGCACCACGTTTTATCTTTAAAGATTGCTGTGATGTTCAACTACAGGCCGTCAGAGAGGGTTTATAAGGCAACCCGTTCAAATTATCTCTTTACAGCCTTGCTGCTAATCTCATTCTTCATGTGCCTTGGAATCATCGGCTGGGGCGTAGCAAGGTAAGTTAGGTATCAACAATTAACTTCTTCGTTTCATTAGACTGTTATCTCTGATCATTTATTTGTTTATCTATCTTAATTAGCGTTTTTAAAAAGGAAACTTCTCATGAATAGCATCAAGCCTTTCCAATAATCCCTCCTTTGACGGAAATGGTATGTTAACAAAATGCATTTATTGTTTGTCAATCACAATCGCGCTCTGGAAAGGATTACTCTTCTTCTAGAATGACTGTGCTAAGAAATTTCCTTCAGGGCGACACTATACTGTCTCTTGGTTTGAGATTCTTCCTGGTGCGTTTTCACAGCATATCATCCATACTAACATGCCCGAAACACTGATGAGAACGAAGAGTCCCGAAAAGGTTTCGAAAGTGAGGAAAAACGAGCCTGGGGAAACCTTTAGAGCATTATCTCTTCAGTCTTAGTTCTAATTATTAACTAACAGTATATACCATCCATCCATTTTTGCTCAAAATTTTTGGATTTTACACTCAAAAGCGCATAAATATCGATTGTTCCATTTAATTCACTAATTTGTTTTATTTAATTTTTTTTCAGCATGAGGCCATCATGTCTTGGACCTTTCAGGTACGAAAGTAAACGAATTGGTTTCGATCAACTTTATTTGTAAAAACGCAGAGGTTCGTGAGTTTAAAACTAATTTAGGAGTGTCTGATTCCCCCCTTAGAAATGGCAGTTACTCGTTGCCAGTTTCCAAGTGCTTTAATATAAAAGCGCAGATTTTTTTCGATGGAGATCACTGTCTTGCTCTCACACTATTTCTCCTAAATCTCTATTCGTATGCTCAAATTTTGATACTTTCGTTGCCCAATGCGGTGTAAACGCGTAGCTAATACAAAAACTAATATCAATGTTAGAATAATAATAAGTAAGGATTGATTGCTTTACGGCAACTACCACGAGGAGAAGATCACGACAAGCTTAACCACGAAAGGTTCGCGAGCTAAGCTACTTATTATTTTTTTCATAATTCTCTGTGTCTTTCAGCAATGCAAACTGCAACGCAGATGCGAGAATGTACCAGGTTCTCACAAAGGAGATTTCAACGTGGCCATCAGTAGTGCAAGATATCATCAACTTTGTTACGACAGTAACTTTTATTTTTCCTGTCCTGACAGTAGTTTGGTAAGTTTATACTTTTACATATATCATCTATCATCCTCACGTGTAACATAAGTAGAGAGGTGTCAGGAATATCGGTGATAATTGCACGGTATTTTTGGACTGGAAAAAGTGGAATCATGAAATTTGATTTATTCTAATTAGTTTATCGATTAAGTAATGATTCTCTATTGGTATTATCGGTTTCTCGGATAGTTCGTATCCTATAAGTCTTATCATGCCCTAGATTAATACATTTGTACCGCCATTCGACAAATTTTGGTTTAACCACCTACATTGTGGAGGGTTTAGAAACACGGATACAATCTCTGGACACCGCTTTTTAAATAGAGATAATGAGTTACATGTATAAACAAGGAACAGAAGAGAAAAACTTGACTTTATTTACAGATCACAAACGAAGAACGGCAGTTACGTCTTACAAAGGCAATATGGCCAAACTTGACAAAACTCGATCGTGTTACTAACAATCTGATGGTAAATTTATCCCTCACCGTCATCTATGACATTCCTCTCTGAGACTAACCTCACTCCGACGATCATACGCTAAGATCAACGCTTAAAACTGTACCCGCCGTGTTTTGTTAAACATTGAATGCTAGAAAAAAACATCTTGAGGTGGGTCGATAAACAGGTCAGTTGATCAATTATGAGATTTACAAGGCAGGTAAACTGTGGAACCAGAAACAGGTGGCTCTATTCACATAAATTATTTTTCGTTTATCAACAGTGAGCCCTTTGGAAAACGTATTGTCTAGAAAATGTAGTTTTTCTAAGTGTACCATTGGATTTTCTTTTCAAAACCCATCTGTTTGATCTAGACTGTAGAGCAATTTTCAGGAGATGCCATATTTTGTATTACAGTAAGGCAAGTAGTTTAATTATCCAAAACTTCTTCGATTTTACATGGCAAAACGACTCTTGCCATTTGGACTAAAATATTTTTCTTTTATCTCTGTATCCTTCTTTTACTTCTTTTTTGTTTAAAGGAAAAACCAAGAGATTACGCAGTTTAAAATCTCTTGAAAAAAATCTGATTTGTATTTCATCTGCAACGCCACTGATCTAGCACTATCGTCAGGTTTTTCACGTTGGTGTAAATTCATTCCTTTCGTCCATTTTATTTTACCTTTTGGACTATGGAGAAAGTAACTCCTTGTTCATCTTCCAACTCTGTGTCTTCGCCGATTTCTCCGTGTTCATTTAGTTCACAAGTTCCTTTGCCAATTTCCAGGGATGATTCTTTGAAGTTTGTTGAAGTACACCACGAGTTTCTGAGGCACGAATGGTTGCATATCATCAAACTGGGAGATTTGAGCTTTTTAACAGCGTAGCCTGTAAGGCATTTGTTTTCTTGAACAGCAAATAGTTCTGAAAGAGGAAGTATGAAATTTTCTTCAGCGGCGAAAACTGACAGTTGTATCAATCTAAGAAAAACGAACTCGAGAAACGCGGTTCTGCGGTTTTTCGGGTGAGAATTAAATGGCTGCGTCCAATCATACCATTTTTTTTAAAATCGAAATTGCAGTGATTTTGAACATCTGAGTTATTCGTTAGAGCATCCATTTTAAAAAGACCTTAAGATAATACAGAACAAAAAATGGCAGTTGACTCCCACTGGTTAAAGGAAATCGTACAATTTTACTTTTTCACCGGTTAAAACTGATATATTTATGATTGACTCATTTTTCTCTCATTATTCACCTTCCTGAATTCAACTTCAATCCTATGTCAACAATCAACTGTGTAAAGTCCAAGCAGGGGATCGGAGTCTCTCAGTCTTCACCTATCGTTTGCCGTCTAATTAATTCACAGTGTAGTTTTCCTGTGTTATGATTGGTCAATGTCTTCATCCAGCCGTAAGGCTCTCTAAGCTTCCCTTCCCTGTCCCCGTCCTCCTTCCCTAATTTAAAGTCGATTTTATACACTTGTATTTTTCTCTTTCACAGTTTACTGTTGTACTACTTCAGATCCATGGCTCTTTCTCTTTTACAAACTATTGAAACCCTCAAGGATCAGTTGGCATTGGTATGTCAGTAAAAATGTTGCTAAATTCGGTGTAACACGCTGATTGCCTCTTTGAATTCTGAATTTATCAAAGATCTTGCTTAGCTAGCGCTTTAATTAGATTGAAGAGTCCAGCTTCGAGTCGTGGCCAAGACAATGTGTTGCATGATCTGTATTGATGCCTGGGTTCAAAAACCATTTGTTTTTTCGGAAAATGGGCCTGCGCTCCCTCCTTGAAGTTCTTGGAAGGACTTAGGGTCGATAAAAGCTTTTTTCCAGATCTCTTCATCAATCTATAAGTGCACTATATTGGCCCTCAACTTTTTCATGTTTCATGATATCATACATACTTTTCATAAATATAACAAAAAGATATCCGTTTCATATTTCAGGAGGGTAGAGACAAGAGAAAGCTCGAGGAGAAACTTTACCGATACGAAGAGGCTGAACGAAAAAGCACTAAAGCTGTCCATCCCACGGTGGTCAGTGATAAGCAAAGAGATTCACTAGCACCACCTGACAGCTTTTTTTAACCCGTTCATCCCTGAAATCTGTAAGCCAGCTCTCCTAAATGAAGACCATTCAATACATTGGTTGCTATTCTTGAGAATGAGGCGTAATCTTCATACTACATCCACGAGCTGATGATTCTCTAAGTCTGTGCAGACCCGTTTCTGGGGAAAATTCAGAGGACGATCACCTTGGATTCAGAGTTAACGACTGATACGCGAAAGAGCACTCTATCTTTCTTATCGTCTCATAATATGATCACTTTTCAGGTGCCATGATTGGGCCAGAAAACTGGGTCGAGCACATGGAAGCGAGGTCTACCGATAAACTTTGAACGTAAAGCGAATTAACCATTACAGGGCTTTCTTTCGTGGTTTGACTTGATTTGTTTGAGTATTTATTTCTCTCGTGAAGTTGTGAGATAAAATTTCGTAAAAACAATAGTTTAAAGGTTGTCGTTTCACACTATTTCTCACAGAAAGGTTACCTACAAGCATCAATTCCATGTAGTTTAATGTAGTTTACGCTATTAATTCCTGGCTCGCCGCTTACCACTAAGCGGGGAGACTGGGAAGTGAGCCAACTCCTCCTACCCGAAGCCTTCAAGTAAGATCAACAGACGTGAGATATCAGGAGAGCTTATCAGGGGAAAACCCGTCGATCGAGGTGAAAAGATCTATAGGCAGAAAAAATACTCTTAGAGCTAAGATAAAAGTTCAGAATGTTCAAATTAAGTACAACAATTAACTACATTACAAAACATATGGCAACTTGCCAAGCGAGCAACCTTTTTTTAATTTTGTTTTAATACCCGTTCAAAATATTAAACAAATTTTTTTTCATTAAAGCAAACTTCAATTAAAATTATTTTTCACGAAAATGCAACATAAAAAATCCACAGAAGTGAATATTTTGTTTTTTTTCAAAAAAAGATATATATATATATATATACTGAAAGTAACTGATCCATTCGCAGAATTATCTTTCAACTCGATGCTATTAAAAGTGCAGGGATTTCATAAAAATATATATTTTTCATATATACCATAACCGAGTGCCGAGGAATGTTCAAATATAGACATTTAGCCACTTTTATAATTGCTTTTATTTGTTTATTTTTCTAAATGTATAATTCGATCTTTCGACATCAGAATAGTAACGATAAAAGTATAAGCACTAACTTGCGTGTAGGAGTGATAAATGAATAAATTATTATTTGTTTATAACATATTTTGATGAACAGAACTTGATGAAAACTTATGCAGGCCAACGTTTCGCCCATCATTACCAAAACATGCAAAGTGACCATTCTTTTTTGGTGAGCAAAACAATAAAACATAGATTTTGCCGTAATTCCTAATTAAGTTCATTCCGTTTGGAAAATTGCGGTCCTGAAAATTCATTGATACCTTGTATAGATTGTATATGATATTGAATCAGGCCTGATATTGAATGATGTCTTCAAATCGTCGATCAACATAGGCGTTTATTTCCCTCAAATATGTTGACTTTTTCTGAATAGGATATTTATTTGCAGTTTTACATACAATGGCCTGTTTTAGTCTCTTAAATTATTAACGAGTAAACGACATAAGTCTCCTGGTCTCTCTAAATATTATACGCATGCAAACTCATTTTGACAAATGTTGTAGGCGGCATTTCTAATGAAATAAAGAGCTTCATTTGTTAGTATAGAGGTTTTTTTTTTGTATGTGTTTTGTCTATAAGGATGAATGAGGGGGAGGATATGACTGAACAATGAGATCTCAGATATGTTTTCACGAAATCTGGCAATAGGTGAAATACTGTTCAATAACAACTTCTAAAATGCAAATAGGCAATTTTTCCAAATTAAGAAATCAATGAAACGCAAGAAAAGTTTTTGTTCAAAACAAAGGTTGCCATGGTGATGGCGAAAAATCGATTTCAAAGTTTCGTACCGATAATAAAACAAAAGAAGTCAATGCTTAAGAAAAAGGATAAATTTTTGTTCTCTGACATAATACAATATGACGTACGTATTCGCAACACGAATTTCCTGCGTGAGTAAAACGTGGAGTCACTAAGGAAACCGTCGTGTAGTTTAAGTCGCAAAATGTCATACGCAGTCTGTGAAGTTTACCTGACAACTTTAGTTTTTAATTACTGTTTCAAAAGTTAACTGATGTAAGTTCGCATAAATTTACCTAGCCATCTGTCTTTACTTTTCACTTCTTGTCATTTACAGCAACCGCTGCGCATCGGTTGCTGTATCATTTGACCTGTTTTTTGCCGTCGAGTCTTGATTCAACGTTTCATTTAGGCTTGGTTTGATCATTTCCGTTTTTGAATACAAGACTTGAATCCTTGTTTTGAGGTTGTCGGTTTTCCATCGAAAACGGGAAATGTCACTGAAAGCGTTCGATATTGGATCAGTGACCTGATGAACACCTCCAAAGAGTGTCTTATTTTTCCTTGTGTAATACCAATTTCAAAACATTAGATTGACTGTAGGAAAATATTTGCGTTTTGACGACAGATCTTCCTCTTCATGTTTAAACAAAAATATGACGTAGTTGATCACGTTATAATTCGAGTGAACCCAATCTGCTCTCGTACAAACAAGATGTACTATCTGGAGATTTTATTTGGCCTTCCTAATGAAGATTTCAGCATTGTTTTGGCTTCTACTTGTGAAGTTTTCATTGACTCACTGATCAAATAAGGGCGACTTTCGTAAGAGAATAAGTGATCTTAGACTTTTTGTCAAGCGTGACCACGACGACCATGGAGGTCGGAGGGCGTCAGTTGTGCACAATATCATCAGCCAATCAACATCCCTCACTTTAAGTGGCCTTTCGCAGAACCAATCAGCTACGATGTTTTAGTCAGCACAAGCGCAAACCACTTCTTTGCGAAAGATTTCTCACGTTTCAGGAAGTAACAAATAATAATGAGGAGCCAATTTCATATCGTAGCGCCTTGTCTTGGCAGATTTGCGTTATTCTTGGGGATGATACGAACTCTACGATCAATTTAGATTCTTCATTCTTGGTTATGACTGGTCGCGTGTCCCCTGGTCTCGGCGCGATGTCTAACTCGCAAGAGATGCTGGAAATGGGATCTCGAGGATCCAACTGTGAGTAATCTTGGAGTTGTTTTGAATTATCGAGCTTTTGCCTTGTTTCTATGTCTGTTGTCGCTCAGTATCTCGGGAAAAACCGTTATGTAATCCTCCCCCTCAAGCTTCGTGTCTTCTCCACTGAAGTCTGTACAATTTGTTTGAAGATCCATACGAAGGCATGGAAGATGATGCCGAGACACAGAGGTCGATTAATAGAAGCTTTCGGCACCTTCCCAGCCGCAGCGCCCAGAGATCCTTGCATAACGCAAGCACTAGAAGAAGAGGTACTGTTACGAGAGCATCCATGAGAGCAAATCAAGATGTTGAGGTATTAAACATTGAGGATTATAACGATGAGGAAGACGACATGGCAAGCCCAAAAGAACTTGCTCAACCGATGTCTGCGAAACGACGCTATAAGTAAGTGATTTTAATATCTTTTGGTGTTTAGTCAAGGTTCCTGTTGAATAAGGAACGTAAGGTTTTTCTGAGTTCAGACAGTATTGGTGAGTTTCGTCCAGCAGTAAGGGATGTTAACGAACGTAATTTAAAATTTCTTGTTCGGCATTGCTGCGGTAAGCTTAGTTTACGAATCATGTATGTTACGTTTTTTTTTTTTTTTTTTTTTGTGAGGTTTAAGTTTTCAGTTACTGATATTCAGCGGCAGGAAATATGTAGAGTGCTTTGTTACCTTAAGTACCTAGCGGTACAATCTTTAGGCCAATCGAAATTTTAAGTTTGTCGTTCGTTGAACGAAGAAGTGGTTGCGTGTACAAGTTATAGCTCGTTGCTCTGCTGGCAAAACAATAAATGCATTCACGAGAGGATTAGTGACTGTGAACATATGCTGCATATCAGTGTGCTTTTGTGCCACCGTTTTCTACTGCAGCTCTTATGAGGGGCTTCAAACATCGGTTCATTTTAAATGTGAGCCTTTTAAGAATGATTTCATCACTCAAATCCCTTGAGTACTTATGAAAATATAACTTATTATGTTTACATGAGCGCGAAGAATTTATATTTACTGTCAGCCTAATCTTGCAGTATTTGAAGAATGTCTGGACTTGCCGATTGTAAACGTTTCAGTATTCGTTTATGATGTTGTTCGAAAACGGTTTTGCAAAATGTTTCCGGATAATTCATGTTTGGGCCAGTTTCAGTATGATCGTATACGCCAAATAATATTACTTTGTAATGGGTTATACTTCGTTATGTGAGAGTATTGTCAGTGGTGATAAATATTAACTAGCATCCGTTAGTGATAGACGCAATTGTCAGATCAGAGTATCATATTCATGATTATTATTAGATTTCCAAATGACAGGAGTTTATTTTGAATTGAGAAGCTGGGAAGAATTATTTATTTGGGTTTTAAATCATAGTGAATGTGATTTGAAGTGAAAACTTTTAAAATTACTGCGAAGATCGCTTCCATATTCATTTTTTTTTAGTATTCAGTTCATTAATTTCACATCAAACTAGTCTGGTCTAATGTCTGCATCCTCACAAGTCTCATAGGAAGGATTCTTTTCCAGTATCTGGGAGATCTGACTTGTGCTGTTTGGTCAGTGCCAGTTGGATGAGGTTGAGACAACTTTAACCCTTTAACTCCCAAGATCTGATTGTCAATTCTCCCCAGTAGCTGCCACACATTTCCTTGTAAATTAGTTATAAGAACTTGGTGCTGATCAAGATAGCAGCTTCTACTTGATAAGTTTGAATATTCTCATTACCTGTTTACTGAAGAATGTATGGATATTGACAGGAGAAGTTTTATGTTAATCACTTTTGGGAGTTAAAGGGTTAAGTTTCAGGCAACACTGAATCCAAGGACACTAATATAATGGCCAGTAGTATAAGGAATTGACTACAGTCAGCTGAGAACATTCGAAGAGAGAATTCTCTCACTAACCTTTATTA